CTGAACGCCGTATATTTGGGGCCAAATAGCAAAATCTTTTAGCAGCATAGCAACACTGAAAATAAAATTTCAATGTTCAGAAAAATATTTCCAGGAAAAACGTATTCATAAATTAACTCTAAAAAATCAGACCTATCAAGAACGTTTTTAAAAATGTCGAAAAGCGAAACAGAATATAAAAATCAATCTTAATTTTTGAAAGAAAATTTTAAAGCTGAACATCTTAGTTTTACAATTAACAGAAAAAGCCAAGAGAAAAGAATTAAGTCAACAGAAATGCTATTAAAAATTACAGCGTTATAATAAAAACGTCTAAAAAAAGTTTTTTTTATTTAACGAAAATAGAAAGTTAGAAAAAAAGCTCTTAATTTTTTAAATGAAAATCTTATGCTGAAAATCTCAATTTAAATTTAGATAATTTTAGAAAAAAAAAAAATTGCTATAAAATAAATTTTATTAGTAACTTTATTTTAAAAAAAAAAATGCTGAGTCATAATAAATATGCCTAAAAAAATTTTTTCTTAGTTCCTGAAACAAAACTTAAATACTGAAAATATCACTTTTCTATGTTACTGGTTATTTATATTACAGTACAGGGAAAGAGTGATAATAAATTAATAGTATGAGACGTTCTGTTAAACTGCTGGGCTATAATAAAAACAGCCAAAAATCGAAAAAAATTCTTCTCTATTCTCAAAGTATCGAAAAAATGACAAAATTGACTTGTCTGATTATAATTTTTTTATTTTTTAAAAAAAGTAATATCTATAAAAATTAAGAAATAAAAAAAACTTAGAAAAATACATTTCTAAAAAATATTCTGCCGAATATTTGACTGATTATTCAACCAACTGCATTTTTCACAGAAGGGCCAAATACTACTTACATCCCTAATTTAAATACGATGTTATTGCAACTGGAGAAATTCATAAAATGGCGGTAAACGTGAATTTTTAAATTGATCACTGTTTGTAGTTTAGATTTAAATTATTTGTAGCTTAAGTGATCTTTTTCGTTAAAAAAAAAAGGAAAATGTTTACGATATGAAAAAAATCTAATTATTAATATAATGAAATAATAAAGTACATTACAAAATAAGCATTGAATTTAATTTTGAACCATCACAGTTTTGTTTTTATTTTAGGCTTTTGTTTGAAACCTATAAATTTTCTTCAATTAAAATATTTAATTTGAATTTATGTTACTTAATTGTGACTAAATTTTTCCCTACTTTCATTCTGAGGGCATTGCAGTTTTTTTAATTTATTAGAATTTAATTCTAAAATGAATTTTCGTATTGCATGATATGATACAAAATTTTTATTTTTGAACTAATTCTAATAATGGAACACCTTTAATTATTTACAAATATATTACTAAGTTTATTGATATAAAAGAATAGAAAGCTAATGTTTAAATATACATTACTACATTTGTCATTAACATGTCTAAATACATGTGCGGCCCTTCGTTAGCCAACCTGCTGTGGAAGTGGCCATTTGCTCAAAAAGGTTGTGCTCTCCTAAACTAATCAAGCGGTATTTAATGTTTATATTTATTTTATTTCTAGGTCATTGTGTGTTTATAAATGTTGTGAATTTTGGTCTCGATTCCGTGAAACAATCGTTTTATATCCCATTAAAGATTATATCACTAATAATGTTGTTAAATTATAACTCTTTGATAAGTTTTTAGATTATCAATTTCGTGTATTTAAAAAGTTACAACCAATGTGTTATTGTAATTAATAATGAAACATATGCGTATTTGATTAATCATGTATAATTAAAAGTGAACTTAATTAGTTATTCAGCTAATTAAAGTAAAAATATTTAAATAGATAAAATTTCCTTTCATTAATTATTTTAATTCATTAAGCTATTTGTCGTTTTCTTTCATAAGCCCCCTAAATTCAAACATATGGGCGCCCCTGTATAAATTTATTTATAAAATACATATATTATATACATTGAAGTTAGGCAACATTAATGCTCTTCAAGCAATCTAGTTACTGAAATGGAAGGGAATTGAATCATATTCAATGAATCTATTTTTTATGAGTTAAAAATTTGATTGATAATGGAATATAATTGCATATATTAACTATATTCTCTAACTTTGTACGGACTTGAAATTCTAATTATACGTTTTTTGTGGTAGCTGACCACAAATTTTTGTCTTCCTTCTTATTACGCAAGCTTTTCAATCTCAATTAAAATTTGATTTAGTTATTGTATTTTTTGTTCAAAATTGTTATTTCTGCACTTTATATACTTATTTCGCTTTCAATAATCATTAATTTCTTGTGATGTCCAATACACTTCTCAATGCAAGAGCCTTCGTTATGAAGTGTTATATTTCAGATTCAGTGCAAATTATAAATTTTTAAAAATTTAATTGTTGATGAACGAAACTTAATAAAAGGCCATTACTAAAATAATAAACTATAGAGTAAAGTTTAAAAACAATGTAATTAATATAAATTAGTCACTGAGTTTTATGGACCCAGTGCCTGTCTTTTGGGATCTTTTTGAGTAATCTATGTACGTAATAATAAACGCGGCTGTGTGTGTGTCTGTAATCACAATATATCGCCCCAGAATCCTCTCGCAGGCACGAAACTCAGCACATAATTGTGTTTTGACATAATGAAGAAGTATTTTTTTTTTCTTTTTCAAAAATTTGGATTAGTTTTTTAGTTATCAGTCATTTTGTAAGGAAATCTATGCTTTTTCGTCTTCAAAGAGCCATATTCAAAATTAAAAAAGGCCTATACTTTTCTCCACTCTTATAAATGTATGCTAATGCGAACCTTACAATTGAAATATTAATTTTCGACAACTTAAACCAATAATNCCAGAAGAAACATTCTTAGTAGCACAGCCAACTTCAGTACTGTCGCTAATAGACTTATTTACAATCTGTTTTTTTGCAAAAAAATTTATAATAGAAGCTTGTCTCTTCATTATGAATGCAATTGACTTAACAACAAATGTTTCCCGCTTATATAGATTGAGTTAGAGCGCATGAATTCGAGAAGCTTTGATTTCTGGAACAGTCTAAAATCTTCGAAAAGGAACCTATTCAAAATCTCGATTGGGTCTTCAAAATAGGCCACGCCTTCATTGTACGCCTTCATTTTAGATTTACGATACTCTTAGCGCCATCTATACTTTTTTTCGGAAACTATTTGCTAGCAAAGCCATCCGAATATCAACTAACTATACGTGCATATATATAATTTTTTTCCTTCGGATTTCGGGAGGGGCCCTGGCCCCCTCGGCACCCCCCATATATACGCCCCTGTTCTAAAGTATTCGTTGACTTCTTAAAAACGCGATTACTGACATGGCAGAATCGCCTTCCAAAAAACTTTGTATTTTGTCAAAGAAAAAGATATTAAGAGATTCTCAAAGAAGAAGGGCCCAAGAAACGTCTGTGGAACGTCAAAGAATTATGGAACATGACCGAATTTCGACAATCAATTCTAGAGCCCAAGAAGTATCAGGGAAGAGAAATGTCAAAGAAGATTGGAAGAGGATCGTGTGTCAACTAGCAGTGTTAGGGCCCGAGAAACACCTGAGGAACGTCAAAGAAGATTAGAAGAGGTTCGTGTCTCAATTAGCAGTGCTAGGGTCCGAGAAACACCTGAGAAACGTCAAAGAAGATGGGGAGAGGATCGTGTCTCTACTAGCAGTGCTAGGGCCCAAGAAACATAGCGTGGCGGACAGCTGGCCGCCTTAAGCGGCTAGTTCTAAATAAAAAAATAATTACTTTTGAATAAACAAAAACAAAAAAATTTTTACAAAAATTCCGGAATTTTTTTTTTTTTTTTTTAAGTGTTCCTCACACTATTGTATCGATATATTTTTGCTTTGGCTATATTGATACAATATTAGAAAGCACTCCTTCTTGCGGATATAATCGTGTGGGCTGATGAAAAGATTATATCCTTTTTTTTCGGAATTTTTAATTTTTTTTTTTTTAAATTTTTATCCTTTTTTTCCGGATTTTTGTTTTTTTATTTATTTTTATTATTATTTTCCATCCCCCTTTTTTCTTCTTCTTTTTTCTGTAATTTTCTTTTCTTTTTGAACTTATTCTATGAGTTCTATTTACTTTGCAGCTTATGCGCAATAAATAAAACCTTTTGTTTTTCTTATTTTCTTCGTGTTTTTTGTTTTTATTTATTTTGCTATATATATATATATATATCATTGTCCAGACGTCACCGTATTGCCCGTTTAGCATCGAAGTTCTAAGTGATCTTGCATGAGATTGGGACTGCGTATATAGTCAAGCAAACATAAAGGAAAGGGACCGATATCCTACATGCAGTGTCATGGTGAATAATAGTCGCAGATCTCAAAAGCCTTCAAGTTTCCATAACAAATAAACACCTCCGGGTGTATTGAATCGGAGATAGATCGTGCTTTGGTTCAGGTCAAAATAGCGATCTGTGAATTTATGGAGTGTGAATGTGCCCTCCTTGTAAAAGAGGATGTGACGCATGTATGTTGTCTCTGGTTCATCCTCAGGTATATTTCCCAGACAATCGCCAAAACCCCATTATGAAGATCTAGTATTACGTAAATAAAAGTACACTCCACTTTCTAAATGTATATTTTATAAGAATTTTTTATTTTAATAAAAAAGAGGCAAAATAAATCTTCTTTGTTCAGCGTTGGAAAATATTTTGTATTAAAACGAAAAGTTTGTTTTTCAAAACATTTGAGTATCCCCACTCGTCTCAGGATCAAGCACTTCCGGTAACGGAAAATCTCAGGTTCTTCATTTTCCTCTGCTATGATCCATGGATCAGACGTGTCGAATGCAGTGTGAATAGACCTTAAAACCAACTGTTCATATGTGCATAGTAAAATGTATGATCATAGAGAAAGCATTTGTAGGATTTTTCTAACAATTTTTAATTTTATTTCAATCTTTTTTGTAAATACTTTATTTAAAAAAATTTAAAAATAAATTACTTGCGAGTATAAGTTAACTGTCAACCTTATCCTCTCACTCTTTTTTTTTGTGCGAAAATCTTAATTGACAGAATAAACGTGAACTGAAACCACTGGTTGATAAGTATTTCATTAATTTTTTAAATTTCATTATCTGGATCGCTAGTAAAAATTTATTCAAATAAAACACACGTTCGTACATCTTTTAGTCTTTTATATTAAACGAAGGAGCTGTGAAAGTTTATGACTATGTTGTCAACATAGTTTTTAAGCTCCAATAACTCCCCTGATGGTATTGCCGCCGATGTTCTGTTATACTAAATTGTATTAGGCTTGGTATGTGTATGTAGTAAATCTTAAAGCTATACTTAATATTTGTTTTGTAATATTATAATGCAATGTTATAAAAAGCATATTTATAATTCAATTTTGATTGCCTGTGATTTGTAAAACTGTCATTACACTGTATTGAGTTCTTTGGCGATGTTCCACTGTATTGAGTTCTTTGGCGATGTTCCACTGTAATGTATTTGTTAATTGCTGATTAAAAATAATCATAAGCTTATTCATTAATGTAACAGGTAATGTAATGTGTCGAAATCAATGAATTGAGTTTACTACTGTATACTTTTTCATAATGGTTGTATTATTCCAATGACAGTGATGCCAACTACTACGCTTTTTGGCGAAAATTTTAATAAATTGGTAGCGAATATAATAGTACTTAAACTTTTAGAATATGGATAATTATGTCAATTCTTTAAAAGTGTCACCTGGAAATATGTACAATAAAGTTTCATGTGATACTTTGAAATTTTGATATGTAGTGGTTATATTTCGTGACCAGCAGAAATTTTTTTTACACAGCAGTGCACGTTGGCCTCTTTGCATTGAATTGTTTGTTACTTTGACTTATTATTTTAATTCTTGGTTGACTTATCACAACCATCGTTTTGTCAATATTTATTGGGTAACAGGATTCCTAATATTTGACTTCGTAGATTTGGGATTTCTTAATATTTTCCAAAATCTATGAATGAAAATCTAAGATTCGAAAATTTAAATTAATTATTTAAACTGTAACACGGGATAGACTGTTATTTCAGATGAGAACATTTCCGTATTATATTCTGTGGCAGAATAATAGCTAAGTCAGCGACAAGTGACAAACTAAAGGGACGGAGATCCATAAGCAACGTCGGCAATCTCGGATACTTTTAAAATCAGAAGCACACTGTTCTCAAAATGAAACCAGAATCAGTAACTAAGTCTACTGTGGAGGGTTTATATACCGTGCGGATGTTTGTAATCTGATATTGCCAATATCAGGGATATGACATATGCTCTTAAAAGTCAAATGATATCACAGTATATTGTACTGACGGTAGGAGAAGTTTCTAGCTACGGAGAGGAGGTACCGTTAATATTACGCTCAAGCCTTTGAGTTCTTAACCCCTACATCAATCAAGAGCCATACCGCCACTTCCTCACCAACGTTAGGTAGAGGAGCGGTGGGGTACCGAGAGGAACAGTGACATTCAATAACTCGGTATTACTGAAGAAAATACTTCCGAATACCATTACCGCGGTATCAAAGAAAAATCGGTATTACGGTATAGGTATATTGCCCAAGCCTATTCCGAATATCATTATCGCAGTATCCAGGGTTGGCAAGATTTTGCCGCAGGTGGAAAAAACCATGGTAAATACTGGTAAAAACCGTCCTGGCAAAAACAGGTTTTTGCCAAGCAAATTGGCAAAAAGTGGTAAAAACCTATATTCTCCTAGATAAGAAGACAAAAACACATTTTTTGTACACAATTATTCCTAAAATTGAAATATATACTATCAGGGGTCTGTCTAGGTTTTTCTGAAAGGTACCTATTTTGTGAAAATTTAGACATAATTTGTGAAAAATTTAAAATTATATTAAAAAATCAACACAAAAATATGGTAAAAATATGGATTTATCGTTTCTTAAGGGATACAAAAACAAAATTTTAAGAAAAAGTATTTTGTGAAACTACCGTTTTTCCTTAAGTTGAATTTGTGAAACTACCGTTTTTCCTAAAGTTGAATTTGTGAAGGTACCGCTAAATGGTAGTAAATTCGGCCTGGACAGACCCCTGACTATGAATATAAATAATTACAGAAAAATTAACAAAATTATTATTAAATCATAATTAAATGATAATGTAATAATATATCATTTTAGTAGTTTAAAACATTATTGATTGGAAAATTTGTGATTATTCTCTTTTTTCCAGTGAAANGAGAACAATTACCTCCTTATGATTGATTTAAATTTGTTTCAAGTATTTTGTAATAATATTTAATCAGCAATTTAAATAATTTGGTTTTAGCCGGTTTTTACCAGGTTTTTGCCACTGTCCTGGCAAAACCCCCTTTTTGCCGACAAAAACTCCAACCCTGGCAGTATCATAGAAATATCCATAAATGACGGTATTACAGTATATTGCTTAGGCCTAGTGATAATTCAATAAAATTAAACTACTGATGTAAAACCTGCTTTTTATTTTTTAGGTATTTTAATTCTTTATTATGTTTTTTTTCTTCTCATTATTATGAATCGTGTTTAGGTAATTTTTATATTTTTTTTCCAGCAAATAAATATACCAGATGACCATGGCCAGTTCAGATTTAAAAACCTCTGTTTTAATGAACCTTCGGTCGGTTACACAGAGTCGAAAAGGAGGAGTTCCTTTAAAATGTCTAGAAAGTAAGTGTTTTTCTCATTTAACTCATGTTAGAATGTTAGACAGTATACCTGCAGGTGGACTAAAAATAAAGTCTGTTTTCAGTTTTGGAGGGTTTATCCATAATAATCATTTTAAATTCCTAAATATAAAGTGCTCAAAATTGAAACTTAAGCTGAAAATATCACTTTTATTTAATTATTTTTTTTCCCTCGCAAATCAGAATTCTATTTGCCTCTTTGAGAGGATGTCATACTCAGTGTTGTCTTGTCAGACTCAGTGTCAGTTTCCTCCCCTGCCTGCCCTTTGACCCCTATAAATGTGCCCTTTTTGTAAAAATAAGCTGCCACCACTTGAAAACACTGCCTTTTTATTTAATTCATATTTCATTTTTTATAAAATAACTATTAAAATAATCACATACAGAAATTATCTGTGTTGACAGGTTTAGTGCTGCTTTTTATTACAAATATTATTTTGTTCAGATTGTTCTCAACTGCTTAAATTTTTAGTTTCTCTTTTTCCAAGGGGTATATTTATAAATTTTTTAAGAGATTTTAAAATAATTTTTTTATTATTTGCAAAATTTTTAAATTTAAACTTTAAAGTATTTTTTTTTAGTGCACGTATCCTAGTTATGATATTTTTAAATTGCTTAAAAATATTTTTAGAGTACTTAAAAAAGTGCTTAATTTTTGTTGAAAAATTTGACTGCAAGCCCTTTATTAATATGCTCTCTTATGGAATAAAGAGAATTTACATTTATTGCTAGAAATTTTGTATCCTGTTTAATTCTGGAACCTAGATAAAGATGTATTATTACTTTATTATTATTTTTGTTTTTAATATTTAGGAAAATTAAGTTGGCAGTATGGATTTATTTTTAAGTTCTTGCTTGTATCAGGGTCTATTCTAGACCTTAAAAAGAGCAGGATGCTAGAAACAAAAAAAAGTTGTTATTTGCAAAGAAAAAAAAAAAAAAGGCATTGTATTTCCCAAAAATTGTGTGATTTTAAAGACCTTAAGTAAAAGTTAAGTAAAGCTGAAGTATTATTTAAAGTGCTCAATTTTTCATTTAAGAAAAATTTCTCAAAAATAATCAGTTCAATTTAGAAAAAAAAAAAACAAAAAAATCCTCATAAAAAATAACACACTCAACAAAAAATGTTTTAAAACTAACTGTGATTCTTGTATTTTGAAATGTTGTGTGCTATAATGTATTCAAGAATATCAATATTCAAAAACACAGAAATGGTTGAAAAAAGCAGTAAATAAATAACAATTGCTGAAAAAATGATTGGAATGCTATGTGTATTAACTTCTGAATTAAGCGTGGTAAAAAGTGATTAAAAAACATTGAACTAAAAAAAATCAGCACGAATAGAGTTTAAAAAAATGTATATAATAAGGTTCAAAAGAAAGACTCCATCCAAAGGGTAAACAGGGGTCCTCCAAAACTCCATCTTGAATGAACCATGCTTATTTTTTTACTTTCCTAATAAATTATTTCTAAAATTAAGATTTGTCATTTAAATCTAGTGAATGAATTATTTTAATTTTCAGGAGATTACAGAGATCTTTTAGGTACACCCATACCTTTTAGAGATTTGGGATACTCATCAATACAGGCCTTTCTCACAGATATCCCTCATGTTATAAGTCTGAAGCAGTAAGTTACTCTCACTCTTTCATTTGTCCTGCATTCTTGAAAAGTTATCTTTGCTTTCATTTTTTTTTATGCTCCTATTTTTAGTCTCTTCTGTGTTTTGTAGGTACTTGCTTTTGAAACTCCTTTATATTTTTTTAATTTGAAACCCCTTTTTCTTAAAAAAAAACAATAAATAAATAAATAAGAGCCTGTCTGGGCTTAATGTAATGACCTATGTGGTAAAAAAATAAATAAATTTGAAGCTCTAAAACGTAAAGTTGCTGTAACATGAGTATTTAAAGTGGTAGTTTTATTTACTTATAAATGTCAGTTTTATTTTGACAGAATCCACTACCAATCTAATCATTCTACTTCCTTCAAAATTTTTGAAATCTGTTCTAAGGTTATGGTGTTATGCTGGTTACCAACAGGGTTTAAGCTGAGTCTAAAAATTCATTAGCAAAAAAGCTAAAATCTGAAAAAAAGTTTTAGCAAAATGCTAAAATGCTATTAGGTTTATAAAATTACTTTATATCAAACAAGTACTGTAAGTTATCTGACAAAGAATAGCTACAACAACAAAAAAAACACATTTATTATTTACCAAAACATTTTGGTTTATAATTAACAATCTTCCTTTCTTTCATGTTGGCCCATTTTACAAATGCTTCTTGAAAGTTAAATGCACTTTCAGGGCCCTCAATATTAATCATTAACAAATTGTTTACATGGTTGATTAACAACCTGTTTCGAATATTAGTTTTAATCAAATTAAGGCAGCTAAAGCCCCTTTCACAGTCAACAGTGTGCATTGGTATTGTTGCACAATACTCTATAACAGAAGTTATTAATGGGTACTGTTCAGACACATCATTGGTATATAAAAATAAAAGTAATTCATTAAATGACATGTTTTTACATCGTTGCATTAAGATGTGTTTAAATAATCCCCATTCACAAAGTAACTCAGTTTCTGTAAACTGAAAATCTTTTCTGGGAGATTCCGAAAACAAATTGAAAATGCAACAGATTTTCTTTACACCATAATGCTGTAATTCTTCCGAACTATGGGGCATCCTGCTAGGTATAAATATATTGAACATTTCGATTTTATCCAAATCTCCCAATCTATCAGTAATATTTTCATTCAAGATATTTAGATTTTTTCTCCTTCTTGTTTGATCAAGTTTTTTTCATGGATGTTAGCGCCATGGTTTTTCGCGGAAGCTTTTTTTAAAATGGAATTTAGTAAAATCCTTTAGCAAAAATGCGAAAATGCTTTGTTGAATTTTAGCATTTTTGAGGGGACTTTTCGCATTTTGCGAAAAAGGCTACCGTAGCGGAAACCCTGGTTACCAATAACCATTTTCTAAATATGGCCTGAAAACTGAAAAGTAAAATAAATCAAGAAGTATATGATTACCATGTGTTTCATCTCCAGAACAAACCACTTATTACAACACTTCATTTAAAGACTAAAGATAGTTTTTAGATAAGAAAATTTCAATACCAATTAAAACCTGAACAATAGCAATAAAAAACTGACACCAAATTTTTATTTCTGAAGTTTTTTTCATTGCTGATCATGAATTTGCATACTTAATTGTATGATCTTGATGTAAAAAATATTAACATCTAGTTTATTGTGAGATAAATTAAAATTTTTGTCAAATTTTTTGTTTTGGAGAAAGTCAAAAGTTAAAATTTTTTGAAAATCACGTTTAAGTATTGACTATATATTTTTTTCGAAGCTCAAAGCATGAAAGTTACTTTTGAAGAAAAATACTTTTAATTATATTTTTAATTGTACATATAATCAAGTTTTCTCTGCATGACTTAGTGTTTTTAAATTTGTTTGAAATTAAACATCCCCATACACACTGACAAACCTTTCAACTGAACTAAGTTTCAGTAACTAACTCCTGTGTACACAATTTTGAAAGTATCCTAAATATTTGGATTTTATTGTAACGTAAACTATTTTTGATTTTATTTGTATTGCTAATATTTTTCAGAAAAGAGGGACAGTTAATTGCTGAGGGAGTTGCAGATTCCACAACCGCTCATATTGTTAGCTTAGTTAATCGTCAAAAAACAGCAAAAGGTGCTCCGGTAAGTATTACTCTATCAGAGTTTTTTTCTCCCCATATTTATACATTTTTATGGGACATGAAACTGAAAGTGATGTAATTTTCACATTTATTAATATTTCCTTATATGTATAATAATCATCCTTATATGTAAAAATTGAGCTTTTAAAATAAGTTTATATTTTTTATTAATTAATTTTTATTTATTTTTTGTAAATGTATTTTATCGGGTTGAATAAAAAGTTTTCCGCCAAAAAAGAACAATCTTTTAAAATGATAAATACGTAATAGCAAAGCTAATAAGGATAGTAATTTCCATTCAAATCAACAATGAGGAAAACAAATGTTATAAATGAAATAAATTAAAATTTATTAGAAAAAAATTTAATTATTAGTAAAACATTATGTAACAGTAAAAAAGTTAAGAAATTAAAACTAAAAATATTGATTTTTTTTTTTTACGTACGAAACGAGTTAACATTAAGAAAATAGTTTTGAAAATGTAAACTGAACTAAAAGACTTAATGAAGTAATAACTAAATAATCTTTTCTAACTCTGTTTAAATAAAGTAAAACAAAACATAGGCAAAAAGAGATAAATGGTTAGTAGATCTCAAAGGGACTAAGATAAAAATGAAACAAAGGAACAAAGATAAAAATGAAAATTCTTAATCTATGCATATATTTATCAGGGTTAGATCATATATTTACAGACTCCTTATACTCCTTGGAAATAAAAGAAGTCTCCAAGGAGTACTTGGAACTACTTAGATTTCCAAATTAATCCTTAGAAACTCCTTAGATTATTGTGTTGCATAGATGAACTTACTAAGTACGCTGATGAATTTGCTGTCCAAGCAGGGAAACTAAATGATATTACTTCATTGTCAAAATCTAATAGTTTAAGAAAAGTTTTTAAAGAATAAAAAATTTAATTGCAAGTGTTAGAAGAAGAAAATAACAGCAAATGATTTTTATTTTACACGTTACAAGCAAATTCAATAATTTAGTGTGAATTTTTTTTTTTTTTTTGTCTAAAATGCCTTAGATTTTATGTATTCAAATTTAAAAATACAAGATTGGTAGGTTTTAATGTTAATCTTTAACATCTGTACTTTAAAAATATTTGAAACTGGAAAATGTATTTATGTGTATAAGTGATAACTTTATTTACTTTTCTTGATGAAGTTTGACAAAGTCAAAATTGATTTCAAAAGGACTAGGAAAAAATATGCAAAGTATACATTTTTGCGAGTTCTTTATAATAACTGCTTAACTGTGTAGTTATCTTTTGCACAAAGTTTTTAAATTTTTGATAAGTCCTTAAAATGTTGGACTCCTCTTCGGATCTCTGCACGAACCCTGATTTATAATCAATACCAATTTGACTCTTAAACAGTTGGTCTAAATTTTATCTGAAAGGCCAAAACATTCTTATGTAAATTATCTTAAAAAATTTTCATGCTAAGGGAATTTTCTTTAAAAATGTTATTGAAAACAATCATAGAAACGTTTATATCTCACTATCTATCAAATAATATTTCATTTCTTAAAAGTCAACAGCTGAAGTTAGTTTTTTTTTCCATTATGCACAGATAAACTTATTTATTTCCAAGTGTTTAAAAGCTCTTATATTTTCTCTTATTTTAAATTCAGTTGCTCTAATTATTTTATTATGGTTTTATTTTTTGACCTTTTATTTTAGTTGTTCCTTTCTTAAAATTCTATTGACATTCATTTTAGAATTTTAATTTATTTACTTTTGTTTTGCTACTAAAATGTCAACTATGAAAAATAATGATTTTATACTGTATTTTATTTATTGCCCTACAGTTTTCATTTTATTATCATTCTCTCTCTTTTTTTTCTTTTCTTGTTTGAAGTTTGTAGATCCTGGTAATTACGTTAATGATTTGTAATGTCTTATAAATTTTTTTATCTTGTCTTATTTTATTTATTTTTTATGTATATGTTTGAGTGTTAAAGGCTGTTTACGGATATTTAAATGATTTTATTTTTTTTCATGGGTATAAAAAAAATACACAATTTAGTAGATAATCAATTAAAATGGTTGATCTTATATTGTACACAATAAATTTTATAAAATTTTGTATTCAATTTAATTCTTATAGATATTTAAGCATTTTGTTTACTGGATTGTAGTTCAATTTTAATTGCATTTTAATTTTTCTTATTCTTAAGTTTTTTTTTTTTATTTTTTATTTTTTTTATTTTTTAACAAGACCTAAAAATGTCTTATAAGCATAAAAGTAAAATGTTGATTCTTAAACTTTATTTTGCTAAATTATATTTAGAATTAGTTTTCTTTATATTTCATTTTCTGGGAGGTTAATTTTTTATGTTTGTAGCAATATTAAGCAATAATAATGTTACTAAATATTGGTATGTAGCAGTATTACAGAATGGAATGTTTCATACAATTATTTAAGTGAAATTTCCTTTTAATAGTTATAAATAATTAATTCTTTTTTTTTTCTATAAAAAAATAGAATTTTAATATTTGTCTGATTTTTTTGAAAAAATATTTGTTTTGAATGCTTCCAGTCATTATTCATAATGTCAAACATTTTTTTGAAAAATTTTTAAAATGTTTTTATAAGTTTATTTGTTATTTCTCTTTATTTGATTCTACATTTATTGTATAGCTCATGCATTTGTAGCTATGTTTTTTTTTATTTTTTACTAAAACGTGTAACATTATTTTAGAAATCTACTCGACGGCCTAGTGCATATCCTAGAAGAGGTGCTGCTCCATCAAAATATAGTTCACGCAATATAAAAAGTTATAGTCCCAAGCGTAATTTTTATAGAGGTTCCTCCACAACTAAATCTGATACTCAAGTAATTTTTTTTTCATTTTAAATATTTTTAGTTTAATTTTCCATACTCATTTCGTTATAAATTTAATTAATACTTTGTTATAGAATTCCAAACCCCAGTATCACGAGCCAGTTGAGACTAGACCAAAAGTTTCTNATGCACGCACACTTGAAACCGAAACCCGAGTGCTCCAATTCGGATGGAGAATATCAGATCCTTATGAAATGTTTTTCTTTTTAATTTATTTTAATTTTATTATTGTTTATTTTATTTTACTTCTAACACTTTTTTGACGTAGGGGGTACGGGTACTTTTGTTCTGAGTTCAGGGTCAAGTTGAATTCACTCGATGATGTGGGAAAGTACTGATTGTTTCGATTTACGTCTGTTTCTTTTTGGGTTTTTTTTAACGCTAAAACTGTTTATAAAAAGTTTTTGTTTTTCAATGATATCACTGATTGAATATGAATTTTTTTGAGTGCTTGAAAATTTTTGTAAAGTGCTTGAAAAGTTTTTAAAAAGTGCTTATTTTTGATTCAAAGATTTGGCTACGCACCCTGTCTTATTCCATTTTGAAAAAAATTAATTCACAGTTTACTTAATAATTACACACTAGTAAAATTATCTGTGTTTATAGGTTTAATTCAGATTAGCATTACAAATATTTGCTTAGGATTATTCTCAACTGGTTAAATTAAAGTGGTGGTTACTGGTTAAACTTTTTTCAAGGAATATTAATATTTTTTAAGTGATTTTAAAACAGGGTTTCGCTAAATTTAGGTCATTGAAAGTCCTTGAAAAACATCTTATGTCCTTGAAAAACTTGATAGGGTCTTGAATTCATCCAATACTGCCGGCGGCCCTTCACTATCGGACGCCGCTCTATTGTACATGTCCCGATTAATTTTTAACAATTAGTGAATTTTGAACTTAACGCAGGTATTGATTAAAAATTTGACGCATGCTCTAAATACGCATATGTATATAATTTAAATAGTTGAATAAAAACCAATAAAAGGATATTGAATATACAAAAAAATAGAAACAATCCTAGTTTATAAAATAGATTTTAATAACTTTCTAAGTAAAATTAAGCATTTTCTAATTGTAAAGTGAAGTAACCATTAAAATATAAATAAAATAATTAATATATCAAAAACCATTAAAATAAGTTTGAAAATTTTTAAAAATAAAACGATCTTACTTTTAAATCAACAATCTAAAATCCTGTTTTAGAAATAAATGATAAATCCAAACAAATTTTGTTCAAAGAAAAACTTAAGGATAATTTATTTAGATATCTCCTATCACTATATATTCATATCACTGCACTTAAAAATTTCTCAAAATCAGAACTCTCTTTACCAGAGAAAATTAGGTTTACTAGTTCATTGTTTATTTCCGTCACTCACACTTTCAGCCTCAATTTCGGTTTCGTTTTGTCCCGGGATGATTTCCGTTTTTTTAAGCCATTTATCATAGTTTCTTTTTCTCTTTTAATTGTTGACAACTTAAATGCAGCGGTATAATTTTTCTTCTTAATGGGAGGCATTTAAAATTAATAACTTAAATACAAGTTATGCCAAAACAAAACAAAAATATTATAAACGAAACAAAAATATTAACGAAAGAAAAATATTAATAAAACAAAAACGCATCAGAATTGAAGATAAAATGATTAAAAAATAATGAGCTGAGGAAGATCGAAACCAGACAGAAATATGAGCAATGAAAAAAAAAAAATACTCCCAAGCATATAAAACAAACTTCTATATTTAGCATTTCCTACCCCTATTTTCACTTCTCAAATCAGGTTTCTTTTTTTTGACTGCCTCCGCCTAGGGCGGTCTTTCTTTTATTCCTGTCTATATATAGGCAAAGCATTGAGGTATTATATTTGAAATTAATTATTGCCACAACAAGCATTGTTGCTTCCATTAAAATAGAAGACAATAATTTTTAAAAATGGTCTTGGATTAAGGTCCTTGAAAAGTTCTTGAATTTCAATCTCATCATAGAGTGGAAACCCTGTAAAACTATTTTTTAAACAAATACCTTTTTGTAAAAAAATGCACCTTTAAATGTTCATTTTCTCATAATTTTCAGTTTAAATTATGGAAAAAAGCTATCAAGTTCTTTTTCAATAAATCATTTTTTGTTAGTTTAAAAAAAAATTGTAGAGATTGTTTTTTGGCATGCCTTTATTTTCATAAACTACAAATTTTTGATAATGAGAGAGAATTACTTTTTGAAATATACACATAGTATTAGAGGGTTATTAAAAAATTTTTGAGAATAGACTTCAGTTATTTTATAACAGGGTGCGTAGCGTTTGTAAAAAGTACTTAAAGGTGCTTTTTTGGGGATTTCGTTTTTAAAAGCTTTTAAAGGTGCTTTTTTCAGCTGGCGTTTTTAAAAAGTGCTTTTTTTCAAATATTTTTTTTTCTCCCTTCAGTGATATCTGGTGGATCCCATGCATTTCACGAAAAATGGGGAGTTTGCTACGTAATCATTCATGCGGACTTCATGTCGTACCCACGTTATGACTTGTGTATGCGCGCACACTTTAAACCGAAACCTGAGTGCTCCAATTCGGATAGAGAATAACAGATCCTTATGAAATGTTTTTCTTTTTAATTTTTTTAATTTTGTTCTTGTTTATTTCATTTCACTTCTAACACTTTTTTTGACGTACTTTTTTTAAGGGTACTTTTGTTCTGAGTTCAGGGTCAAGTTGAATTCACTCGGTGATGTGGGAAAGTTCTGATTGTTTCGATTTATTCCCGTTTCTTTTTGGGTTTTTTTTTAACGCTAAAACTGTTTATAAAAAGTTTTTGTTTTTCAATAATATCATTGATTGAATATGAATTTTTTAAGTGCTTGAAAATTTTTGTAAAGGGCTTGAAAAGTTTTTAAAAAGTGCTTATTTTTGATTCAAAGATTTGGCTACGCACCCTGTATAATATTATACATTTTGATAAACTTTTGCTGTGTTAAGTGAGGGCCCTTTCTAGAGAGGAAGCACCCTGCCCTTTTTTAATACTGAGGAAAGCTCTGTTTATCTTTCGACTTGTTTGCCATAAACTCTGATTTTGCAAGTCCAAACCAATCAATTTTAATAAGGGCTTAAAACATGTAACAGAATAACCATATGAATCAAAAGTGTTTCTTTTTTAAATAGTAAAGTAATTATAGACACTTCGGTAATTACTGTCCTTTTTAAGTGCATTTCAGGTTAGTATTGTAATTTCTTAACTGAAGTTTTAGCCAATTAAAAATAAAGGCTATTTCATTTCTTTAATTAAACCATCCATATTTAATAAAATTTTGTTGTTTTGTACAAATTAAAAATTATGTACTATCATGCAATTTTTTTTACTAAAATTAGGACAGCAATAAAGTCGTACACATCTGCATCTTAATGCTCAGTTTATAAATTGAATTTTAAAAAAATGTCATATAATTTTACAATCTAGATTATTAAGTAACTTCCCTGTGTTTTTTTTTACACCCATTTATTTTTTTAGCTACATCAAAAGAATATGTTGAGATTTATGCCAAAAGTCGTAATCTCGATCTGCACTACAAATCAATAATGTCAGGCCAGAAAAAGAGGAATCGAGGCTATTATTCAAGTTTGACCCTGGGTCAGAAAAAGTATGATTCTTATCCTGCATATGCAGCTACTGCAGAGGAAGCTGAGGAAATTGCTGCAAGTGTTGCTGTCCAATCTATTCAGAAAGGTAATGAAGTTAGTTGTGGTTATGAAGGACGCAGGGTTGTGCTTATGAAGGATAATAATCTTCAGATAAGAATTAATCGTTAATCTTAACTACTGTCTTGTGTAACCAAACAACTCCTCCTGCTCCAATCATAGTTTGGGACTGCCTGCTGCTAAGGAATTTTAAAAAAAGTATTTCAAAAAAGCTGGAGATTAGCTGAGCTTTCTACACTTTTCCAGACCAGTCAAATCAAAACTTCTAAATGTTTACTCTGCAACCCTATTTGAAATAATTTAACACTAGAACAGCCGGGTTTTGGACTTCTTAAGACTGCCATTTAAGGTCCTTTTGATCCTCATAAGAAATTAACGTTTTTTCGAAGTAAATGATTTTTTAAATGATGAATATTGTTGAAAATACAAGATTTTTTATATTTTTCTCCATTTCTTTTATTAGCACAATGACAATATTACATTATAATGTAATATTATATTGCAGACTATTCTTTTGCATGAGCACAAGTAAGAAACAAATGACTTGAATATAAATAGTATATACATAAGCACACATATATACGTAAGCACACATGTTTTGTAATGTTAAATTCCATCACTTAAGCATTGGAGTAGGTGTATATAGTATGTTCGTGTGACGTGAAAGTGTCAACGAAACATGACAATAACAATACTATCTCGTCCAAGATTATAACAAATGTAACCATTTATAATCAGCATGTACAGTACCCTTCCAAATTATAAGAGACACTTAAAATTTCTAAAGACTTTTCATTTTTCAAAGTGTCATAACTTTTTAAAAAATGAATCAATTTTCATAAAAATTTCAGGATATCATGTTCAGGTCTTCTACTTTCACCTAAAAATTACTAATTTAATTTATCTCAATTTTTTGCAAAAATTTGCACATTTGAACAAAGCAATTTTTTTTTAAAAAAAAATGTCAAGTCTGACAAGTTGCTACTTTGTAACAAAATTTTTTGCATGAAAATTATTACTTACACATTAAAGTACAAGTCATTAACTTTAAAACGCGCTAACGTAAATGACTTTACGATTTTTTTTGACCCAGATATGAGATTTTGAAAATTTTTTGTCATTTACAGTGAAAGCTAAATTATTGCGAAATTGAAAATTATTTAGTATTATTTTTTTGCAACTTTCTTATTCGAATCAATTAAGTTTTTTATTTAAAACATTATTACAAACAAGAACATTATTTATAAATTTGCAATAACAATTTTAAAAAACGACAAGAAATTTTTAAGAAATTTAACTTTATTTTGCCACCTATTTTCTACAAAATTCAAACTTTTCTCAACTCTGATAAATATAAACTTATGCGAACCTTACATAACAAATAAATAATTGATAGCTAACAAATTTTCAATAGAAACTAGTCAATATTTTGATCTCTTTAAGCTGAAGAATAAAGACTAAATAAATTCACAATAATTTCATTTTTACTATAAATGACAAAAATTTTTCAAAATTTCATAGCTCGGTCAAAAAAAATCATAAAGTCATTTACTTTAGCGTGTTTTAAAGTTAATGACTTGTACTTTAATGTGTAAATAATAATTTTATGCAAAAAATTTTGTAACAAAGTAGCAAATTGTCAAACTTGAAATTTTTTTTTTTTAAAAATTGCTTTGTTCAAATGTGCAAATTTTTGTAAAAAATTGAGATAAATTAAATTAGTAATTTTTAGGTGAAAGTAGAAGACCTGAACATGATATCCTGAAATTTTTATGAAAATTGATTCATTTTTGAAAAAGTTATGATATTTTGAGAAATGACAATTTTTTAGAAATTTTAATTTTCCCTAATAATTTGGAAGGGTACTGTATATGGTTTCTTTTATACGCAATAACGAAATTATAATTCAGCAGCTGAGTAAACAAGCTACTAATTGAATTTCAGATACAATATAATTTCCGATAAACTGTTGCGTATGACATTTGTTACCTCTAATTCTCTAATTTCTGTTCTACAATTCATATTCATAATACTTGCAGCTCTGTAAAATCAAAAAACAGTCATGACTTAAATGAACATTTCTCTTGTAAGGGTCAAAATGACCCTTTTTTTGTTGTTGCTGTTCTAGGTATTTCCTCTAATTTATTTTACTAATCAACAGAAATTTTGATCACCCAACACAAAAATCACCCCAACGGCACTTCTAGTGTCAACATTATAATCTTAGCATTAGCAGAGCTCAAGACAACTGGCTTGAGGAGTTTTTTAGTTAGACAAGCAGTATCATTTCTGTCTTAAATTGTAAAGCATGATTCTTGTAATTTGTTTTAAATGATAGTTAAATTTTACTTGTATATGTTTCCAATATCTTGTTTTGTAACTTGTATTAAGAAATTTCAAGCTCTCTTTAAAAAGAAAAAAAAAGTTTTGTTCTTAATTTATAATTTTTGTTTCATATGCTGAATGCATTCTTTTGATAAATATGATATGCATTCTTTTAGGATCTCTATGTCAAAAATTTATTCATATTGTGTTTCTCTAAGTTTTTAAAACAATGTTTTAAACAAAATAATGACTTTTGTTTGTTGGGAATAATTATATAGGAAATATTCTTCAACACTTATTAGCTTTCTCAAAAATATATTAATTCACTAATATTTTATTCCTGTATTTCACTTACCCAATTATTAATAAAACATTTTATGAAAAGGTCCAAAATTTGGGACAAAAAATTGTGGGTTGAAAAAAAAATTTTAGGAAAAACTTATTAAGTCTTACAAAGCTAACTCTCTCTATTAATATTTTCTTGTATCCATTTCGTTATTTTTGTATATTTCACTAAATTATATGTGAAAAATATGTTATGAAACATTTTCTGGGGCATGTTATCTTTCAGTGGAGAAAAATAACACATTAGCTGATCTATATAGGCAAAATTGAAACCAAACTTCAATCATACATTATTTATTTTTTTGTTATTAATAGTTGGAGAAAATTAAAATAATTCTGAGCATTAAATTTCTAAGTTGTTTTTCCTTGATGCAGGTGTTAGATCAATTCTCAATTAAAAGCCATGAAAGTTCAAATACAACTAACTCTTCTTGTTTTGAAGCTCTTTTTTCTTTTTTTTTTCTATCAGTGAATAAGAAATAAAAAAAAAATCAATATTGATAGATGGGCAAAGCAAAGAGCTTGAGAATTCATGCTAAAAATATTCATAAATATGGAAGTCCTGTGTCCAAAGGACCTGTAATTTCCAAAGTTTGTTATCACTGATCTTGAAGAATTTCATGGTGTATCCCTCCACTTATGTTATGTTGCAAATTGAATAATATTGTCCTATTGTAAAGAATAAAAATATAGTTTTGTATATTTTTGAACTTGCACATTAAAATAAATTAGAAATAATATCCCAGAACTCATATGTGCTTAGCTTTAGATGGTTAACCAGCCATAGCTATTATTATAAATTAGTTCCCGTCAGCTTCATACATCATAGTACAAGTTTTTGATTTTTGACATCAGTCTATGTGTATCTCTTTTTTTTTATTTTTTATTTTTTGCAAGGAACTTACTGATAGTCATATATTGACTTACTTATTTTTGAAAATTATGATCTCAGTATGTAATTTTTTTTGTCTTTAAATTTTTTGAAGCTTTTAATATTTTATATCATTTAATTTTTCCTTATAAGTAATCAAGTTTTACTAGTATTTTAAGGTTTTAAACTTATATTCTTTTAGGTTTTTTTTTTTTTTTTTTTAGTTGAAACCAGATATTTTAGTTATTTTTTTGTTTTAGCATTTTAATTTAGATTTCCTGCTTAATATTTTCTCCTTAATAACACAGTTTAGGTCATTTTAAATTCTCGGTCCTGGGTTTTTAACCGGAGTTGAAATGTTGGACTTATCGTTAGAATATTATAGAGATAGTCTATTCAAATTTTCACTTAATCCTTGGAAAGGAATAGCATTATATTTCAATTGTTTTTTTTTCTTATTATAACCTGGTAATCTTTGTATAATTATAACCCAGTAATTATTTAAGTATATATTTTACTATTAAATTCACTAAACTATATATACATTAGATTGAATACTCTTTCTTAAAATCAAAGACTTCTTGTTTTGATTTTAAGAAAAATTGATCTATTTGGCCTAACTTGAGTTAAGAGTCAAGCAAATCTTTGACTTCTTCAAGATGATCTGACTTTGCAGCCTAACTTTAGTCTATCTCCGATTTTTGTAAATTGAAGTTTAAAGAAGTGTATAAGCTATGTTAGTAAATTAATTTTCAAATGTAAAAGGTTTTGATTATCAGGGGTGATTGTGCTCCAGAAAAAATTCGTATTTTTCGCTAACTGTGATCTGAAATTTTCTGGAAATCCGAAGTTCAGAAGTTTCAAGAAATCATCCATCACATTTATATATAAAAATTCTTTTATATTTTATTTGAGAATATTAGAAATAGAATTTATTCTTGGCATCTCTCATTTATAAATATTTTTTCTGGTAGAATAATAAGTGTGATTAGAGATAACAGTAAACTTACACATTTAAATTATGCTGCATATTCATTTAAATTATGCTGCATATAATTCATTTAAAATATCATGTTTTGAAAATTTCAATTATAATTTATCAAGTTATAAATTTTTTGAATGATTTTACTCAGGAAATTTTAAGGATTTTTGAGTTGGGCCCACAATCACCCCTGGATTATAGTAAAGTGATGCTATGGGAATAATAGAAACTAATTTCTCTGATAAATGATATCCTAAAATTCTCAATTTTTCTAATGTTCTCACAATCTTTCAAAAATTAGGTTAGAAATTTCTTCCGAAATTCTAAGTTAAATTTGTTTATATTTTACTTGATTATATGTGCATGCATCCTTAGAAAATGTTAATAAAGTTATTTGCTGCCTTTCTAATAGCATATAAAACCCAAAGAAAATAATGGAATAAAACTTTGTTGTTTGATTGGTGACTGTGATTCAAATGTTGAATACCATAAGTGTCAACAATCTGCAAATTTATTTAACTAATTGAACATCATTTTGGGAAAATTTAAGCTGAGATATCCCTTCTAATCTAAAAATTTTGAAACTTCAAAAACATTCCGAGGAATAAGTGTTGTCTAAACGTAGTTAAAAATATTTAATACAAACATGCAAAAAAATCCATTATAATTATACCTAGCAGACATTCTGAAGATTATATATATTTCTGTACACTTGTATAAATTGTAAATTTAAATGATGTTAGGTATAAAGTTAACTAGCATAAATAAGTTTTCTTTTCTTTAATGTTTTCTTATTAAGTTTATAGAATATTAGTAAGATAAGCATTTTCAAAAATTTAAAACATAATTTCCCGGTGGAGTTAACTGATCTACTAGGGCTCAAAAAATTTAAAAATTTCTGCATGCCTTACTGGGTGTGTTAACCTACAGCAGTGTTTCTTTACTTATGGGACTAAAGGAATATTTCAGTGTTTTATCATGGTAAGGTTAGTAATTTTGAACTATTGGTAAATTTTTACATATTTGCCATTATTTTTGAAAGTGGACTATTTCCATTTGGAAAATGGTATAAATCGGAGGCTTTTAAGGATTAGTATTTGAATGTTTACAAAAATATTGCAAAGATGATTCAATTTGGGTGATGTTTTTAACATTATAATTTAAGAAAACATCAAAATGCAATAGTAATTATTAAAATTATGAAGAAAAAAAATCAGTAACTGAATTTTTCGCTCCAAATAGATTTATTCCCCTTCCAAAAATAACTGCTCATACGTAAAATTGTGTCATTAAAAAAACTTTTTGATTTGTTTGTTTCTGATCAGGGCTCGAAAAAACTCAAAACTTTTACCCGTCCCCGAGGACGGCTTGTCCAACAATGTACCCGTCCTCCTTTGAAACTAACCCGTAGCTTCTAAATAAATAAAAATATAATTTTCTCTTATTTATTACAAACATTTATATAAATTGCACAATGAATTAGTAGTTACTAGGATTACATTATACAGTAATAAAAGAAATACTAGGTTACTAATAGTAACCTAGTATTTCTTTTATGAAATAATTTATTTCTTTTATGAAATAATTTAAATGACAAAGGTCAAGTTATCTGGAATGTCAATTTATCCGAGGGTACTGCGTTTTTTAAATGAATCAAATATGACGTTTGCCAGTTCCACAATCAAGCCAATGATTTACAGAGGTTTCTGCACAGAAATCTGAAAGGGGTTTTCCATTTAGGTAGATGTTCATAATTGCGTTTAACGCTTCTTGTTTAAGACCAGTAAGTAATGTTTTTTTTTGTAAGTTCATTGCTGAAAAGTCCCTTTCAACCGCTGCAGTACGGGTGACAGAGAAAACATCAATTCCACCATGCGCGGTATGTTTCTGTATTTCTAGATTAGAGGGTCATTTTAGAAGTGAGGCGCTAGACTCTTGTAAGATAACAAAAATTGAAAATGTATCACCAACTTTAACGGGAAAATGGCCGTCTGCGCGGACGTCGGATTCGAGAGATTCGTTGTCCGCGGGGAATTTTTGACCGCCGAGGACGGGTGGTTTTTCGAGCCCTGTTTCTGATCATGTCTATATTTTGAGCCTAAACTTATTTAAATGTAGAGTATAAATTAATCTTCATACAAATATTAATCCTCGAATCGGCAGTTGAGGAGCACTGGTCTGCAGCATACGTGCCCGGACAATAAACTGTAACTTCACTGTAATCTATCTTTGATTCTTGGAACAGAGTGCTTAGAAAACTTAATTAAACCAAATCTTGTTTATTTCTAAGATTAATTTAAGGAGCATGTCAACTCTGAATTTATATCCATAACTTTGTAAATTTATTGTATTTTGTGTTATGATCTTAAATAAAATGATTGATAAAATATTTTGTTGTTCATTGAGCTGGGCTTTTTACATGCTAAATAATATTTTTTAGGAATCAAAGCTAAAGTAATGGTAAGAGAGTTATGGCATTTTCTGTTTATTTTTGGATAAAACAAAGTGGTTTAACTACCACATTATGTTAACCCCACATTTAGTTATGAAAATTATTATGGTGCGGTTTTTAACTTAAAGTGGAAGTTAAGCATTAAGTAAGCTTTAATTTAAATTGAAACTTTTGTGTGTTAGCTTAAAATAAATTGACAACCATTTTTAAAAAAATTTTTTTTAGGAGGCTTTGATTTTTTATAGTGCATAACATTTTAGATTAGAGTTATGGATTTTATTAAGTGTCAACTGAAATCCATGAAGTATGTACATTTTAAAAGGTACTTACCTATTATAATTGTCTGCAACATTTTCCTACAGTTTTAAACATTCAAGCTCTTTTAAATGTTGATATTTTGAAACATTAAATTTAAAACCAGAAGCTTTGCTGTAGACACCACCCTTTAAGTGGCAAAATCAATGCTAAAATTTTATAGTTTAACTTGATTTTATTTTTATGAGTTCTGCTTCAGAAATAATAATTCCCCTGCTTTAGTTTGAAAATTTGCATTGTGTTGATTTTTTTTTCCTGTAAATTTTCGTTTGATGTTAGCTAGTTTAAAATTGTGAATTGATTTCTTTAAACTTCTTATTTTTAGACCATTTGCATTTGGAATCATGTCCCGAGACAACCATTAGAAATGCAGAAGATGTTCAGAAACTAATTTCTAGAATTGAAGAGGTATTACTTTCTTTTGTAATTAACTTTTTTTTTAAAAAAAAATTTCTAATTGTTTGGCATTGTTTCCTCCTTTAATCTTATATAATTTCATCAGGCAAAACCTGTTATTTGCTTTTCATCAACTTTTTATGGTCTAATTGTTGATTGGTATAAGATAAAAATAAAAATCTAGTTTAATTTTAAAATTTGTCATTTAATATTTTTATAGTATTTGAAGTTCTTTATCAAAATCCTTAAAAATATTACCTGCATCAGAAACTAATTAAAATTAAGAGAATCTTACTATTATTAAAGAGACTTTTTCTTTTGTGATTGATTTTTAAGCATTTTTTTCATCAGCTTTTATTGATTTTCTTTAATGATGAGTTTATGATTTTATCCGTCTAATGCTTTTTTTTTCTGCATTTCTTTGTTTACATAAATGGTCTAAAAAATAGGAAGAAATAAAAAAAATTTTGCCACTTAAAAGAACATAAACATATTTCACTTTCATTCTAGAAATGATTCAACCATCATAGTATGAGTTGCATATGAATAAAATGATTCATTTCAAAGTATCATGAAGATTGCTAAACCATTTAATTATGACTATAAAATTTTAGGATGGTTTTCAGAAAAATACTAGGAAAATAGGCAATTGCTGAAAGAGCTTAAAGAAAACCTCACAATATAAAGAAAAGAGCAAAAATAAGCAATTGCTGGAAAAAAATCATAAATCCGACAATTTGAAAAAAAAAAGTAACCAAATTTTTTAAGTTATCCTATAGAAGAGGTTTTCTTCTTGGGATAAGTTTGTTTCGCAACCTCATGGACAAAGACATCAGACAAAGGTATCAGACTCCTATCAAATTCTCTGTTACCTAGCAACAAGTGAAATTTTGTGCAAATTTCCCCTCTACAGTGGGTTCTTTGACTTCCTGAAATACCACAGAATGTTTCCGTGTGAAAGTTATTTTTTTAGTTAATGTTATAATTAAACTAAAAAAAAAGTACCTCAGAAAAATCTGTTTCTATCCTAAATATCTACGTTTCATTTAAACACTTGCTACGTTTCATTTATACACGGTGCTCATTTAGGACAATATTAAGCATTTCAATTAGTAATATATGCTGTCAAAATAAAAGTAGTATTTTTAAATGCTAAAAATTTGTTTTTTTTTTCCTCTTTTTTTTCTCTCTTATTGAGTAATCCTTCAAATACAAAATCCAAACAGTTTCTAAACTGCCTATGTATTTCTTGTAAGACGTAATAAGCTGCTCTTCATTCGATATTTAAAATATCTATAGAATGTAACTTATTCTTTTAGAATAGCAATATTTTTTATAAATTTAATTTTGATTTTACCAATGTATTTTTAAAATCAAAATGATTATTTAAATTTAAAAATCTTCCATTTTTACTTAAATTTTGAATTATGAAATTTATTTTGGATTAAATCTTCAGCTGCAGCCCAGTACAGGGAAATCTGCATTTTGACCATCTTTTGTTCTTCATTGTTGATGAGGTAGAATTATCCCCCCCCCTCTACCAAATTTACCATTTGGGAAGGTTCCAGAAACATAGAATAAAATACATGTTTCAAAATAAATAAAAATAAAGAGAAACCTCTTGGGAGCAACCACTGTCTATTTCACAGTTAAATGGTCTTTGATGGAGGTTGGTCTTTCTTAGATGTTACCTCCATTGACTTCAAAATTGTTATCAAAGGCTCATAATTTTTCGCTAGCGATTTTAATTTTAGTCAGTGTCATTTTCTTGATGCGGAAATGCTACTTTTTAGAGATAGTCATTCCTGGAGATTTCACTGGACTGCATTTTTTCTGAAGGGTAAATTAGTGTTAAAGTAAATTGTCTCCTCATAAATCATCAATTTTCAGCAGTATGTATAATTTCTAAAGTTTACTGAATGATTGGAGACTTGGTTTTAGAAAGAAGTACATTTATCAGAGACAAATTGTCCTTTACTAAGGGATGTGATTCTTCTGCGGATTTTCGTTTTTTTTTTTTTTTTTTTCTTCCCATTTTCCCCCCTAATATTCGCAGAAAATTTTTTTCGAACAAGTTCAAACATTTTATGATTAATTTAATTTTCTGCGGCACGAAAGTATTGGAGTCCTCATTCCGCCCTCTGAAGTTTCTCTAAAAATCATTTAATTGAGATAAAACTGGTTGACCTTTATACAGGGATGAGATTTTTTAGCGGATTTCCCTTTTTTTTGCTTTTGTCTCTCAAATTTGAGCCTTTTTATCAAAAACTCTTGACTTTCTAAAAGTTTCGGGTTTCTTTTTTATAAATATCCTGTTTTTTTAATTTTTTTTAAAATTTAGTCTTGAAATAAAATAATTATATTTCTTTACGATTTTCAAAGATAAACAGAAAATGGAGGCATTAAAATATCTAAGTCATTGTTTTAGTCAAGGTTAACGTTTGAAACACTTCGTTTTAAATACATTTAAAATATAGAATAAAAAAAAATGTTTTAAGCATTTTTTTTTAAATTACAAAAAATTTTTTTACTTATGTTTTTTAAATTTCTGAAATTAATAGAAAAATAATTATTATTATTATTTTTTTGTACAATAACAGCGTCTAAGAATAAATTGTTTTGATTGTAAATAGGTGGCATTAAAATTTATAAATCTTAAAATAGTTTTTACGTCCCACTTTTTTTTCTTTTTTTTTTAATATAAACTTTAAAAAATAATTTAAAATTATAATTAAATTTAATATTATTATTCTATAATGTAATAATAAAACTGTATAATTTTGTTATTTAACTATAAATGTTGAATCTAAAATGAAATGGAGGATTAGAACGAATGTTCTGAACATTTGGTTTTGTACAAAGTAAAATAATCCTTTGGATGTTGCTGAGGCTGCAAATTTCATTACACTATTCAAAGCTTTAAATAAATAATTTACTTTTATATTCTTAAAACAATTATGGTTTAAAATAGGGTTCTTTTGGATTAAGAAGAAAAAAAATATAGAATTATATAATCATGTATAATTATGAGGGATTAGAAAAAAATGAGTTTTTGAAATAAATTTAAACTTGTTTTAGATAAAGTCTTTTTCTCAACTCGGTCTTAATTATATAAAAAAAAATTTCTTTTTTTTAATTTTTTTTTATGAATTCTGAATAAATGGACTTTACAAATGATTAAAGGTTTGTTTTTCAACTAGTGTAAAATTATACAATAATGGTTCATTTTCATTCACTCGAAACATTCCCAAGAATTTAAAAAAACCAAGATCAAGTTTTTCTGTTGGTTAGCAAAATGAAGAATATGTTGATTGAAAAAAATATTGAAAATAACAATAATTGGCTTAATTATTAATCACTCTTATCAGAACGAAGCCTGGTCAAATTTTTATTCACACAGACTACATATTTAATAAATTTTTAAAGTGCTTGTATTGAAATAAATATTAACCTAAATGGAGGTTATTGAAATATTTTCTTGAACAGCAGATTATTTTGCATATATTTTATGAATTTAAATGAATGAGTTTCACATTATCCATTTCTTCATCAATTTTTCATGTATTTGTCTATTTTGAACATCAAATAATTGATATCTATTCCATGATCGCAGGACCAAAGCTTCTGTCTGCTACTCTCTTTCTGTTTTTCTGAATAAAACCTTCTATATCAATGAAATGAGACTTTTAAATAACATCCAAACCGTACAAATACATACAGGGTATCCGCGCACCTGGAAAGTCATGAAAAATCATGGAAAGTCATGAATTTCAGTATTGAACAAAATTTGTCATGAAATGTCATGATTTTTGCTACTTTTTTGAAAAAATCATGGAAAGTCATGGATTTAAGTCTCCCAGTGTTGCAAGTGCTGCGCCGATCCGTGCCAATTGTGAAAACCTGCGTCTACATGCTCCAAATTGAAGTAGTAGGCTTAAATTGCTCCGCTCTGTGCTGAAAGGGATATTTCCCCCTAGGTATTGCCAAGTCACAATTTTGCGGCAACCCAGCTACNGTATTTGCAAATCTAAAATGTAGCAGATACCCTGTACATAAATAAATTATTCTGCATCAAGAATATTTCTGACTACACCAGTGATGCAAAATTAATTTTACCGTTTTGAAACTAGTTATGTCCCAGAAAAAAGAATTTCAATAGCTTGGAAAATATTTAAGACTGTGTATTAAAAGATAATGTATATAAGAAGAAATTTACAGTAAAATTTTTTCTTTTGGAGTGAAAATTTTCTTTACAATTTTTTATAGTAACAGCCAAACAAGTTTTAGAAGTTAATACCTAAAAAAAAGAGAAATATTTTTAAGCTTGGAATTAAACTTATTATGTATGTAGGGTGCTTTAGAGGAATGGACAGTCTTTTTTCGGTGATGGAAACATTTAATAACAAAATGAATTATTTACAATATGATGAAACATTAAATGTTTATGAAAATTATGATATGTTCAGGATAAGGTGAAAGTTGAAAAATATGGACTCCGTCTGGGCTATGCAGTTGACTGTTCAGCGACAAAAAAGGGAAAGAGTTTCTCGAGCCTCGTCTGGGCTATTCAGTTGATCCTTCCAGCAAGGAACGAAGAAGAGTGTGTCTCTTCCAACTGAAACGGAATAGTGGTGGAGTGTGAAGGCTGTGACGCTGGAATAATGGCAGCATCGGAGTAGCGGAGGGGATGAGCGATGGGTCTCTCATCTCACATGTATGAAAAGAAATGCGCAACACTAAGCAAATTAAGTTGCATTTTAACAATCCTCAAAATGTGAAGAATTCGTTTATCTTTTTAAAGAAAAGAGCATATTTAATTTTAAATGTGCATTTTATTGAATGAGAAGGCAAAACACAAAATGGAATTATTGTATCTCTTTCCATTTAAACAGTACTACCTAAAAATAATCAAATAATGCATTTATGATTTAACAAACTTTTTTAATCTAATGTCGATATATTCGTATTCACACATTTTTAATGGCAAACATTTCATATTTACCCGATATAAAAGTTACACATTGTGATGTGTATTCACACGATTTAAAAGTTGTACATTGCTATTCATTTTCACAAGATTTAAAAATTCAATATTGTGATTTGTTCTTACACGTTTTTAGCACTAATATCGAGATCCGTATTCACATATTTTTTAAGTCGGATATCCAGATTTGTATTCACACGATTTTAAAATCCATTTTCTCTATTCGTATTCCCCCATTCTTAAAGTCCAATATTGTGATTCATATTCATTGGTTTGTAATACAGTGAAACCTCCAGGAAAGACCACCTCTATGTAGTGACCTTCTCTATTTACGACCATTTTTGGGAAGCACAGAATTTTTTTCCATAAGCTTTGTGTTGAAAAAAACTTTTGGAAAAAAAAAAGATGCTTACAATATAGACTTAGGTAGCACAAAAAGTAATAATAAAATATTTTCTTTAGTCAGCCAGTTTGTTATTTGAAAAACAAAATTGATCGGGAATATATGGAATTGATCTGAATAAAAAAATATATAAATTTACCTATTAATAGGCCGATTTTTATATTTAATGCAGCTTTGACAGAGCAAAAAGAAAAAAAAATGTGCCCATAAGCAAAATATTGTCAGTAAATTGTCAGCATCCTTGCTAATTTAAAAAAATTATCAGAAGGAAGTGCCGACTGAAAAAACATCAATAAGTTTATCGCTAGGCCGACTAAGAGTATTCTGCATAAGTTTTGAAAGGGCAGACTACCCTTTTGCTAGCTACACCCCTGTATTGTGTTAACTTTTAAGTTGGTTATATTTTAGCAGTTTTTTTTTATTTTATTTCAAATCATTTTTACACTTTTCCTTTCCAATGCATATGTAATTTAAATTTGCATTAACATAAATTTAAATCTCTCATCACGATTCATATTTATGTCATCTGAGATCTCATGTCAAGTTTTTTATTTTCACGATTTTACATCAAGTATCGTGTTTCGTATTCATGTGATTTAAAAGCCATTATTCTAATTCCTGTTCGAGCTATTTAAAAATTATATTGGAGTTCATATTCATGTGATTTTGAAATGAAACTTCAACAAGATTGGTATTCATGCAATTTTAAAATTAAACAACAATCTTTGTATTAATGAGATTTTAGAATCAAACATTGATATTCTTGTTGCTGCGATATTAAAATCATATATCTAGGTTCATATTCACACGATTTAAATAAATAAAATTTCACATCAATATTATATATATATATATATATATATAGAACAACCACGTTACCTAATAACATGATGTAATCTAATGAGATAGCATGTAACATAACAACCATATGATAAATACATTAAACTTAAAGTGGGGTAAAAAATATTTAATTAATTCATATATTTTTCTTATCACTGTTTCATTTAAAAATCTTATTAAATTTATTTTCTGCTATTTTTTTATACTTTAATCGAATATAGGTCTTTAAAAAATGCATTTAATTTCCTTATTTATTTATTTCAATTTTGATGTACTTAATATTGCTTAAAAAAAGTGACAAATATTTTCACAAAATTTAGAACAGCAGAAAAAAAAGCTTAAAAAATTCCACACTTTCTCCCCTCAAACGAGTAAAATTCCTTTTAACACGTCGCATCAGGTCTTAATTTGAATAAAGTCTCATTAAATGTAAAAAGCGAAAGATATTGAAGGAGTTTTTTTTAGAATAAAATCGAAATCATGAAAAAACAATTAATAAGAACTTTATTGCCATTCTTTTTCTTAAATGATACGGAGAAATATCATTCCAAAGCGNTTTTTTTTTTTTTGTCTTAACCTCAGCTCCCCAAAACCATGTGTCCTTTTTTCTTTTCTCACCTCCTCTAACCAAGCCCCCAAAGCATGCTCAACTCTTATTGGCTGTTACCACCATCACAAAATAAGTAGGGCTATACTTGCTATTTCTTTTTATTTTTGGCTAAATTATTTAAGGGCAGAAAAGGGCAGGTGAAAACTTATGAAAGAGAAACTAAAACTTTAAAGTAATTATAGCAGTGCAGAGCAGTGCAGCAAAGATAAAAGTAACAAAACATCATAAAAGCAATACCACAGTTCCCTAATTATTTCGAACTTTTCCCTCATTGCTTAGTGTTTATGCAATTAAAAATTTGTCTTGGAAAGGTCACCTGATTATTCGTATGTATGAATGTATGTATGAAGGAAGGATATGTATGAAGGAAGAAAATTCTCCAAGCTTTGTTTTGACCTTTGAACCTATGAACGGAATTTCTATTTTAAACTAACAAGCCTTTTAAAAAAAATTCTCAATGGTAAAAGGAAAGTTAGTGCTATATATGAAATGGATGTTTTATTTTCGATCAACAAATTTTAAAAAAGAAATATTTGTAGGAAAAAAAATTATCCTAGTAAAGAAAGGATTCACTTTGTGCTATAGAAGGTAGATGAAGTTAATCATGAAAAAAGCATAAATAATGCCCCCTAAACAACGTGTCATCTATAATATTAAAACTTTTTTAAATGCATTACTTAATAAATTTTAGTCCTTTACGAATATAGTTATGTATAAATTTAGTTATTTTGTCATTCATTTATTATTTGTCTTATGTATTCAGGTTGTGTGTGAAAAGCCATCTGGTATGTTTACAAATGGAATCGTCCACGAATATGAAAACAATTATCACGAGTCTCTTCCTGAAAATTGGTTAAGCTTATTGCAGCAGAGCAACATTTTAGAAATTGAGGAATTGGATGTGTAAGATTTTATCTTGTTTTATCAGCTTTCTTCATTTAATTGCTATCTAGAGAGCTATAATAAATTCAGAATTCAGTCAGCAAAATATAATTTGACCGCTAAACGTGCCATTCTTTTTAGTTATGTTTTACGTTCATGATATTGTATATGAATATGGTGAGGTTTGAAAAAATTAAAGGAATAAAAAAATTGTGTCTAAAGCCACCACATTGCATCTATCTCTTGGCATTCAATTTGTTAAATTTTACTACAGCTGAAACCGTTAAAAAATTAATAAGATGATGCTCAAAACATGACGATCCTTATGCTTTATTTATACCGTTATGTTAGTTTACTGAAATTGATTTATGATTCAAGACCTTTTAGAATTAATAAAAGACAGAAAGATTTTATGAACGGTAAAATTATGAGTAAATTTAAAAACAAATCTTGATACTGAAACCTCTTTAAATGTCATCTTGTAAATGCAACACAAAATTTGTAGTTTTTCTGATGTTCCGAATTTTTTGTTTATTCAGAACATACCATTTGAACCTTTTGCTTACGGCAGGCACAACATGGTACGCCATAAGGAAAAGATTAACACACATGCTATTTTGAAAGAACTGCTTGGATTTTTAAAAATTTCTTTTATTATAAAAGAAATACGAAAAACTTAATTTCTCGATGTTACTAGTATGTTTTTGTGCAAAGAGTGAAATTTGAAATATGTTTCAAATCAAAACGAGTTAGCCTGAAAAGCAGAACTCCTTTATCTTCTAAATTTTTACTCAGAAGAGCAAATTGTTGCTGAACCAGTATTGGAACAAACCCCTATAACTCCTACCTTTTTGCAGAATTGTTTTCTAATTCTGTCATTTTATATCTTTTTTCATCATAAGTCCAATAACAGTCATTTGACCCCAAGGCTATGTCAGCTGGTGTCTCATCCATAGGCTACTTATGAAGAGCAAATTTTTTAACAAAATATAAAATGTTTATTCTATCAATACTTCATTTTTTTCTTTTAAATGAAATAATTTAACTATGCACTTATTGAACTCCAAAATATGCATGATATAAAGGTTAAATACTGTTGTGAGTGACCTGTTACGTCTCCAGTTCTAGAAAATAGTGTAAGTTTATTAATTATTTATGTATTGTAAGTCTGGTATAACTTAAGTATTTTTTTACTCTTAAAAAATCTGTGATTATTGAAGTTAAGAGGCTATTACATTTAATTATCTATTGTTTATTTTTGTATACATTTATTTTTAAATACAGAGATCATATGTAATGTAGGTTTGAAGATTAGCAGTTTCATATAAACTTAATTCTATTTACCTTTATAATAAGGAATCTATTTCCAAAGTCAAGAAAATTAGCTTTTGAGGTTTCTCACCTCAAACTGCACGGTTATTCAAATAATTTCTAATCAACTTGTACCTATCTTAATTTTTTTATTTGAAAGCGTTTTGTATTAATTTTTTTTTTAAAAAAATATGCTGAGATTTAAAGAAAATGCCACACAAAACAAAATTTTCAATACACTATTTTTTTTAGCACTTCCTGTCCCCTTTTTTAAAAATTGTCTAAAATGTATGTATTGCTCAAAAAATGCCCTGATTTTAAATTTTTTTTTTTTTCTTTTAAATCTGACTTTTATTTTATACCACCACAAAATCTGCATAACATAAACAAAGTTTTCACAATTCCGTTCTTGCTTTAGAATTTTGATTTTGTTTACACTCATTTTCCCATCCATAAAATTATTCTTTTTAGTAAAAAAAAAAATTAAATTTAACGTAGGCCTTATGGTAGAGTTCCTGAAGGAGTCAACTGTATAGTCAGAAGAGCTAATTCGTCTGGAAGCACAACCCCATCCAGTTTATCTGTAAGTTATTTAATAATTTTATAATTAATTTTTTTGTTAGTTATTATTGATTTTAATTGTTTTGTTCTTTATCAATAGGAGTTAGAGCAACGCTCTGAATTTTCCAATAATGACAATGCTGCACCACGTGCAATTGTCCGCAGAGATCATTTGCCTGCCATTCCTGAATTAACGATTCCTTTTGGCAACCAATGGTTTGTTTATGTTGTTGATGTATCTAAAACCATTACGGCTCGACTCATCGAATATGATGTGAGTAGTTTTAAGTTTCTATTATTATATAATTCGCAGAAATATCGATTACGATTTAATGTACTATGATTTGCTGATTGTTGACTTATGTCTTTTTGTTAGAATACAATACGTCCTCAAATTGCGCAGATAGATTTTTTGAATTTTTTTTTTGGGGGGGGGGATGATAAAATCCTTCATTTTTCGAATCTGATCGATTCAAATCATGCAGAGTTCATCAATAGATGCAATGAGACATCGTCCTCAAATTGCGCAGATAGATTTTTTGAACTTTTTTTAGGGGGGGGGGATGATAAAATCCTTCCATTTTTCGAATCTGATCGATTCAAATCATGCAGAGTTTATCAGTAGATGCAATGAGACATCGTCAATATGATTTATTTAGTTTTTTTAAAATTATTTTCAGTTAATCAGATACATATGAAATGTCAGATATTTTTAAGGCAACTTTGTTAATCTTTTTTTTTTAAAATAATTATGTTTTATTCTAAAGCTTATTGCTTGCTCTTTCTTATTATACTCAGGGATGTGATTCTTCCGCGGATCCGCTGATTTCCGCTTTTTTCAGATTTTTCCATATCTTCCGCTCTTTTTTCATAAATTTCCGCGCGGAAAAATTTTTTATGCAGTAAATGATATTTTGTTGAAATTTTTTTTCTTCCGCGGAGCGAAAGTATTGAAGCCCCCAATAAACCTCTCTTCACATGTCAATCTGCTGGCTGGGGTAAAAGTGGTTAACCTTGGTAAAACAATGCCGTCTCCTACTCGACTACTCTCTTATCTTTTGAGGGATGAAGGACTTTTTAAAATTTCTGACCATGTTCCAAAAACTTTTGGGGAGTCGAACGAGCGATATAGTCGGACTTGCGACTTGTTGCCTTGACAACCACGACTTCCGCTATAGATTGGAAAAAAGAAAAAAAGTCCTAAGCAGTTTCGTTTCGGCCGCTGATATTTGATTTCTTTTGATTGGCTGATTTACAGAATTTTAAANAAACTCTAATTCTTAAACATGAATTCTTGTGATTTACGTGTTGTTTTTCTTTATGAATTCAAAAGCGGTCATAGCGGTTCAGTAGCTACTCGAAATAGCAATGCTACATTTGGTAAAGACACTGTTAATGAACAGATAATTGGTTTAAAAAGAATTTAAAGTGATGATGAAAGTCTTGAAAATGAATCGCATGGAAGCTGAGAATTAAAGCCTAAAGATACACAATTGAGATCCCTTATGGTATCTAACACTCCTATTACTGTTCTAGAAGTTGAGCATGAATTAGGTATCACGCCTCGCTTTCAACCATTGGCAAAGTCAAAAAGTTGGATAAATGTGTTGCACAAGAACTAAAAGAGAAAAAAACATCATTTTGAAATCTGCAGTTCTATGCTTCTAGGAAATAAGAGATAAGCATTTTTGAACAGAATTATCGTCTGTGATGAAAAAAAGATCCTTTATGACAATAGATGTTCAACGCAGTGGTCAGATGCAGTGTTTAGTGGTCTATAGTTAGAGTATTTGATAGAAAAATTTTAAAAACTGGCGAATCAATGACAACCGAGAAGTACTGTGTAGAAATTGATGTTGTGCATCAAAAATTACGTCAAATGAAGCCGGCACTGGTCAGCTGAAAAGGACCCATTTTGTTTCATAGCGGACGACCACATGTTTTATTGGTCGTAACAAATAAGTATGCCAAATTAAAATTGGAGGTACACCTCATCCACCGGACACATCTTCAACTGATTATCCCTTTTTTAAATATTTGGATAATTTTTGCCATGATAAAAAGTTCACCAATCTAGAGCTGATCAAAAATGACTTTCAATCTTATATTTATTTAATTTATTTTAATCTTATTAGTCTTTTCAATAAAAATATGTTTAAAGTTTTTGCCCTAAATCTATTTTGATCAATTCTTTCTCAAAAAATTTTATGTAACAAATCTGAGTTAAACAAAAAAAAAAGGAAAAAAAAAACATTTATTTTTTAAGTTAAAATATTTTTATCTATACAACAATTGTTTTTAGTTTTAGTTTAATTCTTTTGTAGTTAGTGTTATTCTTTCGCAGTTTGCACATGCACTACACTTTATAATAATAAGAGCATGAAAGCTTTTAGTTCAAATTATGCACTAACACTTAATGCAAAATACTTTTTTTTTATTTTCCAGGAAGCCTTTATGGAGTTTTTTAACAGCATGAGAGCATTTTATTCTTCTGAGACTTTGCCGGCACAAGAAATAAGTGAAGGTCTTCTTTATGCTTCGTGTATTGATGATAATTATCAAAGGGTACTTGCACAAAATATTAAAGAAACTGACATGGTATAGCTTTATTTTTATCTCTATCTTAGTATTTTATTCATTTTAATGTGTAGAAGAAATGATATTTTTGACATATATTTATTTGTGATTTGATATACAGTATATCAATATCTCCGAGTGGAATTGATGCTAAAAAAATTTCGCGATAATGAGTTTTGGAAACAATAAGTTCAGAACTAAATATATTCTAAAAAGTAGAAAATATTACTCTAAAAAGTAGGGACAAGAAACATAAGAATAATTTATTATAAATATGTAATGATCATTGACTATAAGTCTAAATACAATAATTATAATTTTATTTCTAAAAGTAAGACAAAAATAATTATGCATTAAACAGAAAACAATTGTTTTACTTAATAAACTTTGTGATTTTTGTGAAAAAAATTCATTTTCTATATCAAAAAGAATTTGACAACACAAGGTTTTGGGAAGAAACTCTTCGACGTAGGAATTAAAATTAACAGGTGTATGTATAATGCCGAGGAGAAAAATATTTTTTTGACATAACAAGGTTTTCGAGATATCGAGAGTATACTGTAATACATGCACACATTGAATTCTATGTAATGCAAAATTTCTAAGAACCAGCATGTTATAGAATTGAAAGTTGAATAACAGCTTTTTTTTCTTCTATGTTTAATTTTACTAAAATAATGGGAACCAGCTATGGCACTTTTGGTGCTTTATCCTTGTGCCCAAGTTTTGTAGACCCTTGTGTATACATAGCCATAAATTAAAGTGGAAACTTTGTTCTATATCTGAATAAAGTTAAAGAGAGTAAATAATGCTACACAAATGAACATACTATAGTTTGGGTTCTGTAAAGAATATTGGAGGAGGCGAATTTCTTTCTGTTACAAATTACGTTGATATTCTTTGTTTAAATCACAAGTTATATTGTTATCTTTTTATTAAAATCACATATATTGTGTCTCTTTTTTTCTCTTTCTTTATTTAAATAACAAATTGTGTTGGTGTTCTTCTATTTTCTTCTTATTTTAAGTTCTTTTATTTTTTTTATTGGTTTGAGTCATATATAGCTTCAAATAGTTCTTTCAAGTTCACTGTCCTATTTTTAGAAAACTTTTTTTATTTGTTCAGATATTAACTAGTGCCTAAATAACTGAAGCATATTCTTATTTTAATTTTTTTTAAAAATTCTTATGAAAATAACAGAAATTTTAGGCATATTTTTTTATTAAAGCTAAATCACTGGAAAAGGGACTAAATAACATTCTTATGGTAGGACACAGATTGTCTTAGGCAAGAAAAAGGTAAATTCTTTTTTAACAGAGGAGGCATTGCTGTTGCCAAAAATTTAAGGTAGAGAGAAGTCTGTTGTTAGACTTAAAAAGATTGTTTGGCATGGTCTGTTGTTTGGCTTTTTTAACCATTTAAAAAAACTTACTTTGTTAAAATAGATTTAGAAATTTCTGTCAAAATAAAACCATCGTTAAAAGAAAAATAAGAATTGTACTGTTGTTCAGATTATCTTACTATGAAAAAAGAATTATTGTTCTTTGGCAGTATCATTAAAATGTTTTATTCTTTTCTGCTAATTTTTATATTTAGTATAATTACTTTTCGAAAAATTTATTATATTTTAGTGTATAAGTTGACTTTTATACCAAAATACAGGAACCAACTAATACACTGGCAATACAGTAGTATATTCGTTAATAATAAAATATCGATAACAATAAAATTGATGTAAATAACTTTATATTAATTTACTCTTTTCAAAAACTATTTTTAATATGTTATATGCAATTAATTTTGCATTTTCTCTCATTTTATTTTTGCATATAAAAGTTTTTTTTTTTCCTTTTGGAAACAGTACTTTAAAAAATTACGTTAAATAAATTAGGATTAAGAATTGTTAAAGTAATTTATTAATTATTTCAAAAAAATGTTATAACACAATGTTAACTTTTCAAATACATTATAAAACTACAAATTTAAAAATTTCAGAACATATCTGTGTTGGATTCAATATCATTAGCTGTGTCATCTTATAAATCCTACACTGCAAAAGGATTCAACTTCATACTCATACACTGAGTCCTACGAACCATCATCTTCACTTCCACCCTGAAGAATTTTAAATTCCACCCTTTTTAAAAAGATTTTACAATGAAATAGAAATTTTAATATTTTATTTACTTAGCAGACGACTTATATACCAGGATATACATTTGTCCTTTTAGATATTCTTAAGAAATTTGTATGAACTTTGATATTATAAGTTGATAATTATATTATTTTTACATTTAGTATTATTTTATAGGTTGAGTGCTATTATGTAGATGAAGGTGTATTTGCTGATGTGCCAAAATCATGTCTACAAGAATTGCATTCTGATTTTTGGACATTTCCATATCAAGTAAGTTTTTTTTAAAGATTCTTTTACATTTATTTATTTTTGTTAAAAAGACAGAATTTTTTTTATAAAATTTTTTTTCCGCCTTTAGTTTCAAAATTTTTATGTCTGTTTTTGCTTTCGCTAACATCTAACAGGTATGCAGAACACAGTTATAATGCTGTTATGGGAAATTTATTCCAATCCGTTACTAGCATGTTAGTTTAAAAGGTCCTCATCAGACAGGAAAAAAAAATCTTACTACCTGTTTGGAGAATTACACGGTCATGTGATTTTGTTATTTATTAAGTATTAATAAAAAATTTAGGATTTTTTTTTTAATTTTCTACTTTGAAATGTGCATACATAAACATAATGCACATTTCATGTTGAAACATAATTAAATTTTAAGGCTGTAAATATTTTATTACTTAAAAAATAAGGTAATTAAGTTTTTATGTAATTCTTTCAAAGTTGGTAGAGAGGAAATATTTTTTTATCTTTTTTGTCTAAAGAGATCATATTAGTCTATGCAGAGACCTGAAAGAATGATTTAGTATACTTTAAATTTAAGGCATTTATATATTATCAATTAGGATCTAAGTGTATGTTGGTTAAGGAAATATAAATAGGTTTAATAAAAAATAGTTTTTTTTTTAGTTTAATGTTATCAAAAGATCAACATTAAAAGTAGAAGTCAGGATATATAATTATGTATATATAGTTAAACAGCATGTAAAATATATATTGTGTTATGTCTTAACATGACATTTACAGTCAAGTTATAATTTAGTAAGAGAACCTAGTAAGTAATTGAGACTTGAGTAAAGAATGGCATTTTGGAACAACTTACATAAGAATTTTATAATTTGAATTGAATTAAGTGGAAATGTTTTTTTATTTTTTAAAATTTTTTTAATGTTTATTGTACTTTTATTTGTAAGTTTGAAAACCTGTTTCTGAAGTTTTGTTACCACTCTAAGTTCAGCTTATTTTCCGAAACTGCTGTGGCATTTCCGTAAACTGTAACTATTTACATACTGAAACTTTTTTTAAATTACTACTACTTTTCTCTTTGTTTTATTATTTTGTTTGAAAATAGTGTGCTAACCATTTTCCTTTACCATTGTATTTCTTTAATCAGTTCATCATAACTGTAACTGAATGATGAATTTTTTACATAAGTATTAAAAATTAATGTACTTATTTATAATGTAATTAGCTGCTTATTTCGTAACATATTACAATCGATGATAAAAATTACTTTGAAGATAAGATAGAATCACTTAGTAATAGTAATTATTTGCAGGAAGTTGCATGCAGTTTTTAAATATATGCTGAGCAGGTTGATCAAAGTTGTTACAAAGATGGATGCCATATTATAACAACTATATTCTATATATATTCTATTTATAACAACCATATACAGTACAGAACCCGTTATCCGGAAATCAGAAAACCGGAAAACCGAAAAACCGGAACGAAATGCGATAAATTTTCCCGCTATTTAAAAAAACAAAATTTTTCTTACTCATAAGACTTTTGGATTTTTCTTTCTTTTTTGAAAGATGTTTACCTTACCATCATTTTAGAAATAATCATTAGTGTATTACTTCATCGTTTTTTCTTTTTTTTAAGATTATTTCTAAATATTTTTCTAATTTTTGTTGGGTTTAACAATAAAAAAACCGCTTTTTGTAGCGAATCAGAAAACCGGAAAAATCAGTTATCCGGAATAGCGATGGTCCCGATCGTTCCGGATAATCGGTTCCCTACTGTATATTCTTCCTGGATTCTATATAAGCATTACTTAAATTTAATTTTGCTAACGTTTCTCGTATTATTTTTCTTTCTTTCTCTCTCTTTCTAATTGTTTGTTTTAGTAGTTAAATTAGAGTTTTAAAGTAAAGTAAAGAATTTATTTAAAATTTTCCAAATTTTGTATGGTGTATTTTTCTTTTAAATTTAAATGCTTAATTTTTCATTATAGTGTAAAATGAATAAAGTTTAAAGTAGAAAATTGATACATTTGAAATATTTTTTTCCTAGGCAATACATTTAACCTTAGATGGCCTAGAAGATTACCCTTACAAACCAGATGATTTAGATTTTCTTCGTGAAAAGACTCTTGTGGCATTAGTTAAAAGGTAAGCTTAAAAAGTTCATTTATTATAATTGCACACTTTGCAAAATTTTTTTTAGTGATTTATAGGGAATCTACGATTAAAGATTATAATTTTAACAAATCAGTTTTGTTAATATTTAACTTAAAATCAGTATCTTATTTCCTGCTGAGTCAGCATTACTTTTTAAAATATGGAAACATACACGTGTAATTCGCTGTAATAGCACAGTAAAATTAGGTGGACTGAACTTTCAATTAAAAAGTCTGAATCATTTGGACTAAAGAAATGAGAGAAAGAACATTTTTGTATTGTTTTTGTTTTTACAAATACCTGGAAGTTAACCAGTCATAAAATTGTCAGTAACAGTTATCTGTCATTGAAATTCAGGATAAATAATTCTGACATCTATTACAATTATTCATTGTAAAAATTTCAGATTTTGTCAAAAATGTTCCCATCCTCATTTAATGATATTTTTTTACACGGAAAATCTAATATTTTGCATTACAAATAAAATAATCAAAGTTTTCTGATGAAAAATCGAATGGTATAGATAAAATATGGTCTCAATTATCATTGAAATTTTTCTGGTATACTTGGAAAAGTCAGAGAAATTTTTTTCTCCTGAAATTGATCTGGAACCCTTCTTAAAGTATTCTCTTCACAAATTAGTTTTAGGTCAAACACTTGAACCATGCAGATTGCAAGTGAGTGCTTGAAATCGGAAAGAAGCATCAGATTAAATGTTATTTTGCTGTTCCGTTTTTTATTTGTGGCTTTGTAATTTGTTGGTATAGCACCATATCATTACTAATAGAAATAAATGATTTTTATGTAGGTGGAGTACAACAGTCCTTCCCTATTTTCCTGATGATCCTGCTGTACATAAAATAATATACTCTGTGGTGTTGTATGATACACATACATCTGACGATGTGGATTTGAATGAAATTGTAAAAGAAAAGATGCTAGAGTCTCTTGTTGTGAAGCTTCCTAAGGTCAGTAAATTTTTTTGTGCTTCAGCATTTCAAATAATTTGTAATGTATTTACAAATAATTTGTGCAAGTAATGTGGGCATATGATTTTTCTGGGAATATCGTGGAATTCCGCGTTTCTCAAGATCATTGGTTTTTGAACCTTTGTTAATCAAAACTTATAATCCATCAAAAATTTCATGGAATTCCTCAATTTAAAACTTAAATTTTTTGAGTTTCGTTAATTTCCAGTGACGAGGCGCTTATCTATAATATGTGATTTTTCTGCTAATGAACAGAAATCCAAAAGAAAGTTGGATTTTTTTTTGGCGGATTTTTAAATATTTGAAACCACATTGGAATCCTCTCATATCGCGATTCCTATTCACGTGCTTTAAATATCAAACATCGATTTTCATATTTACCTAGTTTAAGTTACACGTTGTGATTCTTCAGTGTTTAAAAATCATACATTGCGATTCCCATTCACACGATTTTAAAATCCAATATCATGATTTTAGAAATCCAGCATCTTAATTCATATTCACACAATTTTAAAAATCCCACATCGCGATTCTTGTAAGAACTAAGATTTTTATTAAATTAGTTACTATAAAGGTGTGATATTCATCATTGGTAAATAATTTAATTATAAATCTTACTTTAAAAAATATTTTAAATATGAAACATGTATGGTATATAAATTGATATTTTAATATAGATGTTTTGCACATAAATTTTTAAGAGTTTTTCACTTTGTGTCATAATCACCCCAGGTTGATTTAAATATTTTTTTAAGAATTGGTTTAAGATTTAAAATCTTTGAAAATGAGAATGTTAACATGTTTTATTGATTTTCATAATATTAAATTTATGGTAAAGTTATTACTTCCATATCTTCTTGTTGTGAAATCTTATATTTTTGAGTGGAAAATTTAATTAAATTATGAAGTTGACCTCCAACTTGAAAGTATGAGTAAATTTGACCTCCGAGATCGATCATTTAAGGGTTTTATCCAACACATTAGATTTAGAGAAGATCTTAAATATCTCTTTCACTGCTTTCTTTTCTTCACACACCTGCAGCAGAAGAAAGTGGGACTTTTTTCTCAGCAAAAGCAAAATAAGCAAATCACTCACGCAATCTATCCTTATGTAAAATAGTTGCAATACCTCTTTTCTACTTTAACTTTTATAGTTGTGATCAAATTTTAGGATTAAATTCTAATAAAGGATATAACTTTGAACAAAACAAAATGTAAGATTTTTATTTATTTTATAAAACTTGAGTGAGTACTGTTTGTCTACGATAGGTACTCTGACAGACATTCGTCTGGAGGGGTGACGGTGACTATGGTAACGAGGTATGATTATTTCAAGTAGGGGTGCGGGTCCCTCTTTAAGAAATGTATCTTTAATGGTCCCTCTTTAAAAAAATGTATCTCATTTTACGCGGAAATAATGGAAGTTTTTGATAAAATAATTATAATAAAACAAATGTTTAAAAGATTTAATTTTTATTGCAAAATTAAGTTGTAAAATGAAAAACAAAAATGTTAATGCCGTACAAAGTTCAAACAAAACCCGTTTTAAAGTAAATTTTATTCTGAACAAAATGGCTTTTAAAAAAAAATGGATTGCAATTCCATAAAGTTATAGCTTTGTTCGCGAAACGCTGCACCACGGCGCGTTCTGCCACTCCACTCCGCTGATCACCCAATCGCGCTGTATCAGTTGATTTGGAGGGAATTTAAAAACCTGAACTAAAGTTTCACAAAATAACAAACATTATATTAAATAATAAATTTATAATTTTAGGTGAATAATTAGTTATTTATAATTAGTGATTTATAATTTATTTACATAATTTTTTAAGTTCAAACTTGGAACTAGAAGAATATATTTTATTTATAACTATTTTATCAAAAACTTCAAGAACTTCCGCGTAAAATGAGATACAATTTTTTAAAATCCATTTATTCTATCCTTAGATGTTTATTTTTTAAATAAAAAGAGCTTTAAAATGTAATTGTTAACATCTTGTAAAATAAATTAAATTAAAAAAAAAGTCGTTTTGGGCTATTGTTTTGTGTAATATATACTTTTCAAAAAAAAAAAACAAAAAAACAAAAGATGTAAAAATTATGATATCAAATTTTGGGTGTAACCGCTATTAAAATGTTGACTCAATGACAAATTAAAATTGTTATTTCTATGTAATGATTGATAAATAGGATATGTATGGAAATTGTATAAAATTGTTTAAGGCGAGCTCAATGTTTTATTAATAAATAACTCATCTATAAATTTATCATACATAGTAAATTGGTTATTAAGAAAAAAATAAATAAATAAATTTGCTAATTAAAAACTGTTAGAATTATTTTTTTTAAATAAGTAATGAGAAAAACTATACAGGTTACATTAAAATACAAGTAAGAAAATGTAATTTAAGCAAAAAAAAACTTAGATAATTTCAGATGGTTTGATGGGTGCAGATAAAAATCATCGTTGATAGTTTTAGATTTTATCCTATATGCGGTAACTTGCTTTCAGTTTAAAAAAAAAAGTCAAAAATAAATAATAAAAGCAAAGATATTTAATATTTTTTCGGCACAGATTACGTGAACTATTTCTATTTTCAGCAAAAGTTTTATTTCCTTTTAAAATCAGAGTTAATAAGTTTAAGCACTTCACTTTTTCCAGAAAACTCAAATAATAAAAGAAATTAACTGCTTTAAAAAATGTGCAAGTTTAGATATTAAACCATCTAATGATCAATGAACATTCATAATAAATATCGTAACATTAAAAAAAACTTGTACTTCCCCTTAATGACAGAATTTGTTCACTTTTTTCCCTTTGTATTTAAAAAATAGCAACCGATTGAGTAGAGAGAATCATTTCAAGTAAGAAAGAAATATCCATGTGAATCTTAAAAAAGTTATTGAATCAGATTAAATAAGTCTCCTACTGGTGGCTGAGTCAGCCAATCTGGTATACTTCCCATACAAGCTATCATCGAAGCTACCCTCCCTAAAATGCCCTCTTCTTGTTTCCATAGCACCAGACTGTCGCAGACTTTGTGGCGGTCAGAGTACCTATCGTAGACAATCAGTAGAATACTTTTAGAAATCTTTTTTTTTTGTTTCTTCTGGGGTCAAAACTCATGACTTCTGAAACTCTTAAGAAATTTTGTCCAGCTTACTACTCTAAATTTAATTCCAGAAATGTAGTTTTCCTAAAGTGTAATTTTTTTTTATTTATTGATGTTTTTTCATTTTAAGGAAATTTTGAAAATAAGGAATTTTAATGTCTAATAAGGGGATTTTAATAACAGAAGTGACATGAAGCGAATCGCTATATCCACAAAATTCAAACGAAATATAAGATTTGTGCTAGTGATCAAACTTATAATTTTAATCATTTGATTTAAATTGTTGATGTCCTGATTTTAAATTTTTTTTTTTTTTTTTTTTTTTTTTTTTTACATTTGTGCTAAAATTTAATATTGAATTATGTTTTGTTACAGCTTTCCGTATCTTCCGGTGGTTATTATTTAAGTCACGTTGAAGATTCTGGTGAAATTTACTTGAGAAATATATCTGATGATAGCTGGCTGGAAGAACAACTTGAGAAGCTTTCGCCATCTTTCGAGGTGAGCTTTTATTTTAAGAAGGAAACAGAAAAGGAAAAAAAAAATTTAATCATTCCGAAATGTAGTCTTAAATAAAGCTATGATTTAAAAGTAACACAAAAAAAACCTACTGCGAGTGAGTGCCTTATAAGCAAATACAACTTAAGTAAGATTTAATAAAGCAATGTTTAATAAAATTTATCTTTAATTAATAAAACTTTAATCTTTAATTAATATAACTTTAATAATTAATCTTTAATTAATAAAACAATGTAACAAACAAACAAAAATTACCAAGTTTTTACTTTGTAATTTTTCATACCCTTTATTAAGATCTGAATTAATATATTTAGTTTTATCAATTCGTAACTATTACTGAAAGAAATAATACTTACCCATCTGTCGCAAGCTGTGGCCTGTTTATATTGGACATTAAACCATACTCTTTTTTTTTTCTGCTTGTCTAAAAAGAAGTTTGTTTAAAAAGTAAATAAAATGCAAACTTTGGAGGAAAAAGGATTAAATATTTGTACTTAGTACTTTAAATATATAAAATGCTAAAAACTTCCACCATTAGAGTTGGTAGAATTATGATTATCTGAAACAAGCCCAGATTAAAGAATCACATGAATATGAGCAACTTTTGCAGGTCAAAAATTTGAATGTATCATTTATAAAAAGCTTTTAGTAATTTTAGCTTGTACATACAATGAATTAATTTACAATTAAGAATTTTTTGAGCCCCTGCTCCTATTTGTGCAAAAATTTCAAATGATCCTATGTTCTTTATGACAGTAATTTAATGGGGCATATCCTTATTGGATCAATTAGTATAAGGGGAAATTAATTAGTATAATATTCTATTATCACTTTTTTCTAAAATTACTTTGAATGTTAAATTACGTGCATTCAGATAGGTTTTGTTTTGAAGTTCTATATTGTAGTGGTTGTCAAGATTATGTAACTCAAAAGAAAGAAGAAACATAATGAAAAATATTAAATAACAGCTCTTCCATTAAAAGTTATGACTTTGCAATGCATTATTGTTTTATATAATAATAAGAGGAATTTCATGAATTTTCAGGAATCTCGTTCAAAAGCTGAAACAATACCCCATGACATGATCTTTGCTGCTAAATATGAAGATGGTTTATGGTATCGTGCTGTTCTTACACAAAATCCTAGTTCCTCAATAGAGGAAGACAAAGTAAGTAACAGAACCAAGATTCATTTGTCTTTTTTTTTATGAACCCCTTTTTAAAAAATTACAATTGCTGTACAGTATGGGACCCCTAATCCGGCATCCCGAAATCCAACAGGACCCGAAATTCGGCACTTAATCCGACCTAATTTTCTTTTTTAAGAAATTTTTATTGATTAGAGAAAAAAAAAATCAGTCATATTTTCTTTTTATTTCGATTTTTTTTTCCTCTTGAAGTAAGTAAGTACAGTAGAACTCCAATTATCCGAACTCCAACTATCCGAATCGCTTTCAGAATTCCTATGGAAATATGAAAAGATAAGTTTCTCTTTTTTTATTCTTTTTTTTATATGAATGAAATAAAATTTTAGTAAAGCCAAGGAAAGATTTATGCAGAGAAAGTTTACAAGATAGGACAAAGATTTGTGAAAAAGCTAAGATCTTAGCTGAAAAGCTGGGTTATTTATCTTTCAAAGCAAGTAACGGCTGGCTAAAGAATTTTAAGTCTAGGCACGGTATTCGTGAACTAGATTTAAGTGGTGAAAAGTTATCTGCAGACTCCCCAGCTTCTGACGAGTTTATTGAAAAATTTAAAGTTATAGCAGCCTCTTACGATTCCGACTTCTTATACAACGCTGATGAGACTGGTCTAATATGGAAAGCTTTACCCAAAACCACTTTAGCCTCTAAAAGAGAGTGCAGTGTCAAAGCCTCCTAGTGCTCCAGGGCATAAAGCTAGTAAAGACCGCGTTACTGTGCTTAACTGCCCGAACTCAACTGGGAGCCATAAAATACCCCTTCTGTTAATAGGGAAGTCAAAATGCCCAAGAGCATTTAAAAATATCAAAAAACTTCCCCTATTTTATAAAAACCAATAGAAAGCTTGGATGACTGCAGCACTGTTTACAGATTGGTACGATAAAATTTTCATTCCTAAAGTGAAAAAAAGCCAAATATCTGTTGGAAGTCCTGTGCTTTTGATTGTTGATAATACACCAACTCATCCCATAGAAGAATTGTTGAAATCCTTAGAAGAAATCCCTAAAAACATTTTTTCCCCTCATTTCCACTATACAAACAGTAGTTATTTAAAATAAGCATTTTTTTTAAAAAAAAAATCCAATTATCCGAATGGGGTCCGGTCCCGATTGATTTGGATAATTGGAGTTCTACTGCAACTATATTTTATCCTTTAAAAATAAAAACATGAAGAGAAAAATTAATAAATCTGTGTCAAACAAAACATCTATTCCTAAAGGAGTTGAAATTGAAAAGTAAAAGCATCTGCATTTCCAATGAACAAAATAAAGAAATGCAAGTTGGGAGAAACTGATCAATCAATCTTGACAATTGTGCAAGTGCTTTACTGGTTTGTCCCCACCTTTCCCTCTCCTGTTTGACCATAAATTAGCCACACCCTTATGGCATTGAAACTTCTTTCTCACTTGGTGTACAAAATGAATTCTATCCCTTTTGCTGCTTTTTTTTAAATTGGATTTATTTATCTTTTTATTAGTTATTAACTGTTACTTTTTTTGTTACTTGCTAACTTGTCTATTTTTATCGTTATTAGTTGTTTGCTTCTTTTTTGTAGTTATTAATTGTTAGTTTCTTAGCATTAATTGTTACTTTTTTTGTAGTTCCTTGTTAGTTTTTTTTTTATATTCCTTTTGTTTAGCGTGGTGGGCGTCTTTTGTTAAAACAAAAAGTTATGTAAACGAAAAAACGAGCACAATGATCTCGAAATTATTTCTTTTTCGGAGGATTCTGATTATTTCATCTTGAATTATTTCTTCTTGATTATATCATATAGATTATTATTTTAATTAATGAAATTTCTAAAGATGGGACAGTTTTAAATTCACCCCATCAAAATCTACAATTGAAACTTAGCTAAATTTATTGGTTTTTCTGAAATTAACAGCGTAATTGAATTATCGTAATATACGGGCGCCATATTGGAATTTCCGGAAGAGATCCGAAATTCGGCAAATTCCGAAATACGGAATTTCGTCGGCCCCGTGAGTGCCGGATTTTGGGTCCTATAATGTATTAGCTTTATTATAGCTCCTAATTCTTCAAGATTTCTTCATTGTTTTTTCATATTTTAGAAAAATTTTTAGAACTAAGTAAAGATTTTAATAACAAAAACAAAGCAGAATAGATTTTTATTCAAGATTATTGTGTGTCTGTAAAGGTATAAGTATACGATGAAAGTAAATTTATAAAGTGCAGTAAGTTCCAGAATATCACCAATTCAATAAACGAGAAATCTCAAAAAAACAATAAAATTCAAACAACAAAACTTCAATTTTTTTTTAAGGGATACAAGGTGAATGGGCTATTAATAAGTTTTATTGATATAGCTATTCTAAAATCACCTTTTCTTTCTATCTTTTTTTTTACTTCATGATTTAGGTTTTTTTTTATTATTGCCTGGAAATTTTTTCAGTAAAAGGCTGTAATATTTATACCTGAGAATTTTGAGGTTTCAGTATAAGAAGAGATAATTAAGAAAGATTTTTTTTTGTGTTTCCCTCACATTTTTCTTCATTTTAGCCACTTTTTTTTATATTTATCTATTGTAAATAATTTGAATAATTTTTATTTCTAACTGTAATAGCTTTTTTCCTTTATATAGTTTTTAATAAGCGCTAATTGGGATATTTCTTTATTTTTGTGGGAGTATGGCATTTCTTCCTCAATAAAATAAGTAATATCGAATCTTGAAATAAGTTGAGATTTTACTGTACTGTTACATTAACCATTGGATTCAGGTTAAATTTCAGATGTCAGAGAGCAGGATGCTTTGTGGACAGCGTTGTGCACCGTCCACCTTTACTTCCCCAGACCCACATGGTTTAAAAATCACATGAACTTTATGAGCCCAGGCTTTTGTCCTTTTTATTTAGTGTATTCTGAATAAAAATCGGGATTTTAAAATGGTACTTTTTAAAAATAATTGCAACACACTCTAATGGACAAAAAATCAGATATTTTTAAGTAACAGTGAGCATGTACAGCTTCTCTATCTGTGATTCTATTAATTGCTCTGCTAAATAATGAAATAAATCTCAGATTTTTTTTAGACAAAGAAAGATACTATTTTTTTACAATTATGGACTTAAATCTTCATTTAATTAAAAAGAAATCTGGAATTTTCATTATTTTTTATTTATTTTGAGAAATTTTTATTTGGAAATTTAAAATGTCCATTTTTTGTTATTATAACTTAACCTATATGCATAACATAATTATAAAACACTACAAACTAATTTTAAAATAAATTCCATTCCATTTAATCAGTCAGAAGTGGGAAGTTTTGTGGTCTTAGTTTGAAGTTTTTTGTAATTAGTTTTAGAAAAATGTTTTTAAATACTTTGTTTCTCTTTGTTAGTTCTAAGAAAATCTTAAAAATTCCTGAATTGCAGGGGGATATTTCATATTTTATTTGAATCGAATGTTTGTGTCTTCTGCTTGATTTTTTTCCCCACTACTATGGTAGTTATTATTGCACTTTTAATGGTTTATTTGGCAAATGTATATTGTATTTGTTGATAATAACTTTAATCTTGTAAACTCTCTATTTAGAATTATATATATTACTGTTTTTATGATAAATTGAATCTTAATTTTTAATGAACTTTATTAATTTATTTGTGATCTCTTTGATTTATTATGATAGTTAACAAACTGGAAAATATTATTTTCAACTGTAACTTTATTTTAGGTTGAAGTCTATTTCATTGATTATGGAAACAAAAGTATTGTTTCTAGTGATGAAATTTGCAAACTGCAACCTTTCAGTGAATTTTTATCTATTGTTGGACCACAGGTATTTATTATATACTGTACTCAGTAATTTGTTTCCATATTGTATGTTGCATCTAATATATTTATTTTGTTTTGTCGTCATCGTCGCTGAAATCGGGTAAAGGCGCTATAAAACAATTATATCATTGTCGAATGTTTCAGCAGTTGCTTTTTTATTTGTTCGATCTTCTTTGCTTGTGCTGGGAGAAAGGAAAGTGCTGCTGACTGTTGTGAATTGCAATTGTTTTAAACAGAATTATCATTAAAAGATTGTATGAAGAATTTGAAGAAGTGGAATAAAATAATTTGCTAAATGATTTTTCAAAGTAAACTATTTAATCTATGCTATATCATTGTAAACACTAACTAGTTGTAGTGCCATTTATGTTTATAAAATGAGAATAATTGTTAAAATGAAAAAACTAAGAAGTTTTACTCCTGGTACTATTGTCTCTGTCGTAATTTTTTAGTGGAAAACATTTGAATACTATTTTATTTTTTGCAACAATTAGTTTTTTCAACATCGTCGGACTTATTGAAAATTTAAATCTCAATTTAGCGTATGTTTTATTATTAAATTATATTTGTAATTATATCATTTATTTTTTAAAAACTGAATTATGAGTTTAAAGGAAGGAAAAAAAATATGCTGTAATTTTAACTGGCACTGATTTAGTAAAATGCAAGACAAAAGAATAAGAGCATATGGAAAAAAATATTGTATAATTAATGGGATACTTGGGTGCTCATCCGATCTGTCATTTCCATAAGCAATATCATTATGTTGGAGCCGAGATAAATGCTATCTTATAGGCGTGTGGAAAAGCCCCCCCCCCCCTCAACAAGTTCAATTGATACAACTCTTCCTTTTANGTAAAATGCAAGACAAAAGAATAAGAGCATATGGAAAAAAATATTGTATAATTAATGGGATACTTGGGTGCTCATCCGATCTGTCATTTCCATAAGCAATATCATTATGTTGGAGCCGAGATAAATGCTATCTTATCGGCGTGTGGAAAAGCACCCCCCCTCAACAAGTTCAATTGATACAACTCTTTCCTTTTACTGCTCTAATTTTGAAATTTTCTTACTTGTCAGAGAAGAAATAAATTTTCTGTTCATAGTAAAAGTAAATATTTTCCTAAGAGCAATGAAATCGAAATTCACCTATCACGTTAAACATTATAAGTACTTTAAAGCATTGTATCCATACACAATTTGGCTGGGAGTCGAAAATTAGTTCACATTAATGAAGTTCGACCGTGTACGTATATATATATGTAGATATATAGCGCAATAATGACAAAAAGGATTAAAAGAAAACAGAGAGAAACAAAAGAAATTAATAAGTTTTATTTACTGTGCCTAAGCTGCAAATATATGGAACTCATAAAATAAGTTTAAGATAATATAATAAAGATAAGATCTTTATTATATCATTCTCTATATTTTTAACTTATATACAGTTGTACCAATACCATTATTTTATGTATAGATATAAAATAGTTGCTTTAGTCGCCTTAAATATATATAAAAAGCTTAGCGAAAACCCGATATAACTACCTTATTGATTAGATTACCTTAGTATAAATGCCTCATGTATATGTATGTGCAGTGTAACTAATAGTTTCTATAATTTAATAAAGTTAGCTGTGTTTTTATTATTTTTTCAGGCCATCAAATGTGAGTTGTATAGTGCTTTGCCATCACCAGATGCAGAATGGACATCTGAGGCAGTTTCTAAGCTAATGGAATTGGCTCCTATTTCTGAAGAACTTCTTATAAGAGTAAGACATAGTTTACTTTAGTTTAATCAATTTTGTTACATGGCTAAAAAAATTATGTGCCACAACTGCAAAATAAATAAAAAAATGTTACCCTAGTTTCAAGTGAGGCTAAAGTGTGTGTTTATGGTTCATAAGTTTATGTTATTTAGCAGACGGGAAATTCGCTAACGAGACAGGGCCTTGTTGTTTCAAACAAATATCCTCCGTGTGCATAAACAAATTTATTGCAATGATAATGCATTAGTTTCCTCAACAAGGAAAGTTATGAAAGTATTTCGGCAATATATTAAATACTATAGAATGCAAACATTTTTATTTTGAACATCACGACTTGCAATAATAAATGCATTGCAGATTTTACCCCATTTTAAATATTTTATTCATTTGTAACCTACTGTACAGTACGCCAAAAAATGGACTACTCTGAATAACTTTTGATCTAACGATCAGATTTTCACGTTCTAAGACTCAATCTTAATGATTCGAGGTTTGACCTCAAATATGCTAATTAATAAGACTATTGCCCTGTTACGGTTGGGTATAGAATAAAAATGAAAAAGTNTAAATTAAGTCAAAAGAATTAGTATTATTGATTAAAAAAAACAGGATATTTATAAATAGGCTGTGACCTAATGTCACAACTATATATGCAGATGATATTTTAAGTTACGAAATCAGTCATAGAAGAGTACATTCTCTGAATAGACAACTTTTTTTTGACGCATTCGGATTTTTGACTGCCAAAATATAGGAAGTAGCTGCAATCTGGGAATTATGGTCCTAATAATTTGGTCAGGAAAGCCCTCCTGAGTTTGGTCCCCTTAACGTTAAGTTTACTTTTTGCACATTTTGCTATATCTTGAGAACTTAAGCAAAAAAAAATTTTTTTTACGTATCTAAGGGTCAGAAATCTGAATCCGTCAAATAAGAGGTATTCAGATAAAGCATGTTTTTGTGCCTGACTTCATAACTTAAAATATCGTCTGCTCTTATTATTTAGCATATTTGAAGTCATCCTCTAGAGCCATTAAGATAGAATCCTAGATCAAGAAGTTCCAATCATTAGATCAAAAGTTATTCAGGGTAGTCCGTGTTTTTTCCCCCGCACTGTACATCCCAAAAAGAAAGACTAAAAATTGTAGTTTAAGGTAGGTTTTAAGAAAATTATGAATATCCGGTAAGATTTGGAAACTCAACTTAGATGAATGGAGGGGATGGAAAAATTCACATGAGTGTTATTTCAAAGTAAAAAGCCTAAAATTTAAAAAGAGAGACAAGGTTCAAAAATGGAACTAATGTTAAAAATAATGATTTTGAAGAAGGTTTAGAAATAAACACAGTTATTTGGGATTGGAAAGTATTTTCTTCAGGGAGTGATTTTTTTATACATAAATACTTTACTATTTCAATCGAGAATTTTAATGACATTTTAAATCTCCATTAACTATTCTCTATTTTCATTTAAGCATGAAAAGCGACTTTTTAGTACTGATTTTATTTTCCTCATAAACGTAATTCGTTGTTTTATTATTTTACAGTCATATTGTAAGTGCAATTTTCCTAGGAAATTTTCTCTAGTTTTCTAATACGCCATCAGAAAAATTTTTTAAAAAAAGTCATGTACTAAAAACAGGATTATTCTGGGGGGGAAAATGTGTCTCAAAATAAAGATTCATGTTCAGCGCCTCCAAAAAATATAAATGAATAAAAGCTACTGTCAATAATTTCAGTTAAATTCCTCTGTTACCTAGATTATTTCTCATATTATCTTGCTTTATTTAACTTACTATTATATTAATTTATTTAGGTTATAAATGAAGGTAGTGGGACTACTCTTCCTCAAGTTAACTTGTATAAACGTACTTACCAAAATGGCGATTCCTTCATTATATCCATCAATGAAAGTCTTGCAAACAAACCTGAATTATTCAAGTATGTATACTGTTTTGATTTAAAATTCATCTTTTGTTTTAGTTTTTGACATTTCCATGTAAATTGCTAAATAATCAATAAAATTCTTTTCCTCATCCCGAACTGAAATATCAAGCAGAGTTTTAATATTGTCAATAGTTTTTGAATTATTTTTATCAGATTTGAAAATATTTATTTTTGCTCCCAGATAGTAAAAGATTTTAGCTAAGGTCTTTTTTCTCCTGCTACTTAATCTTATGTCCGTAAATGAGCAAGAGGTCTCACTTTGTTTAAATTTTTAATTAGTTTTGGGGTAATTAAATAGCTTAGATTAATAGTTTTTATATGTAACAAAAATCTCGTTTCTCCGCAAAGACTGGAAATCCATTGTAGAATTATTTCTCTTCTAGTTAGATAAGATATATATGATTTTATAAAAAATAGTCCACATTTATTTATGTATTTTACTTTTTGAATTATATATTTTTTTTTATATTACTGTTCTTGCATTTTGCTTTAAAATATTCATAAAAGTATTTGATCCATTTTTGTGAATTAAAAATGTAGTAGTTTTTATATAAGTTGGACTAAAGCTGATCATTGGAGACTGTGATTGAAACATCCCTGAAAAATAATCTGAAAAACGCCATCAGCCAATGAATTCACAGATCTACTGGAACTGTGTTTTAAAATCTGTTTGCTTTGAGACTGAATTAACTTTAAGGAAAGCAGCGTTAGTACTGCATAGTAAAACTTTTCTCTAATTTGACTTTATTGTTAAATAAATTTTATAGTTAATTGATTTGTAACATTGCTTCAAATTTCTTTCATAGAACAAGTCTCCCTACGCCCAATTCATCAGCATTGGTTGAAAATATTATCCCACCACCAGTTCCTAGGTCTGCCAATTTATCCAGATCCACCTACTCAACCCGAAGCTCTTCTAGTCCAACTACACCTTCCAATTTAACGAATGAGTTAGTAGATTTCTTCTTCCTCACCTCATAATTTTCTTGTTATTTCTGTTGCTGTGTTAACCATTTATTTCATCATTTTAAAGCTTTAAATGGGTGATGACTCCTGATAATTTAAAAAGTCCTGATGCAGTTGATGCGCATAATCTGCAACCTCTCAAGCTTTCAGAAGTTCCAGACATAGGCCAAATATTTGATATCTTTGTTACAATGTCTGCAAATCCAGACATTTTTTACGTAAGTTATTTAATTTTTTTTAATTATAATTTTTTAAGTGAAATGAGTTATTTCTGATTTTTAAAACATTCAAAAAAAAATTTTTCAGAGAAAAAGCAATCTTTATAAGAAAATTTTAGCCATAGACCGCTCAAATATTAAATAAGCACCTAATGGTGATGGAGGTTGTGATTTGCTTATTTTTGCTGACCTGGGGGTATGAGCATTGCTTTCGTTGGACATTAAAACCCTCTCATTTTCCAAATTTTCCTAAAAAAAAAAAAAAAANAAAAAAAAAAAAAAAAAAATGCAGGACAACATAAAAGACTCCCATTTTCAAGACTTGCCAGACTTGAATGACAACCCTAGGCTACTAGATTAGCTTCAGGGTTTGTTACATTATGTATCCAATATTTTAAAATAAATATGATATGAAATGAATATGATATATTTTCAGACCAAGAATGCAAAAAATATTTTAAAAAAGTAAATCAAAGGATTCTCTTTTTTTTAAAGATTTCTAGTATAGATTGTGCCTGTGTCCATCTACTGTACCTTCTGCAAATAAATCTGTGTTCAAAAAAATAGTTAAGAAAAATGATATTATTTGTTAGAAAATCATAATTTAAAAAATCAATTGGAAGCCGAAATATGCCATATAATTTCTCAATTATTCACTGCTTCTTATATGTCAGCTGGACTATAAAAAATATTTTTATAATTGAAATAATTAAAGATTTTCATTCATGTAATATAGTTATATGTAGATGAAAAAATCATCTGAATACTTTTTCTCCATTGACTGATTAGGCTACTATTTTTTATATGTAAGGCTACTGAAACAACTATTTTCCGTTTCAGCTACTCTAATCAAGATCCTTTATTTAGTTTTAAACAGTAGTTTAGTTAAGCTGATAAATGTTAGTTTTTATTCTGTTTAGGAAAGTAAGAAAAAACTGATTGCTTTCAGCTAATTTGCATATTGTCTCATATAAATTCAATTTAAACTTCTGCATTTTCAATAGCACAGACTTTATAATTTTATGTTAAGCAATTTGAAAGAATGAGGAAAATTTTCCAATTGCCACTTCACTTGTCACAATATGATCAATCTTAAATCTCGAAAAATTCAATTTTTCAATTGTCATTTCCATAATGTAGGAAAAGTAACCATTTAAAACCCAATAGTTGATACTAATAAAGCAATGATAATAATAAATGGGGCACAAAGTTTATCAAACTTTATATTGTATGAAAATGGATATATAGTTAAAACTTATTCATATAGAATTTCATGTAGAAGCTAGTAAAGCAAACACAATTATGTGTCTGATACTAAGTTAATGAAACCTATATCATTTAAAATTAAGTGCAATAGTTATAAATTGTTCATTTTAAAAATATTATAGTTTAAAGGTGATTTTATTCTGGGGGTACCTCAAAATTACGGATTTTTAGTATTATCCATCTAAAAATTAGGAGCATTCATATGATTCTTCTGGCACTATCTCGTAATTACACTTTTCCCAAGACTATTGGTTCTCTGACTTTCGCTAATCAAAAACGAAATTTTCTCAGAATTCTCAAACTAAAATTCAAATTTTGTAATGTTTGTTAATTCTCGCTAACAAAGATGCTTACTTAATTATTCCGGCAATATGATTCTTTTGGTTTGGCCGATTTTTGCCATTTAGAATTGTGCTGGAATCCGTTAATATCGCTATTCTTATTCATGAATTTGAATATCAAAATCAATCTTCATATTTATCTAATTTAAAAGTTTCACGTTGCGATTCGTATTAATGTGATTTAAAAATACAATGCCACGATTTGTATTTACATGTTTTTAAAATTCAATATCGCTTTTTATATTCACATGATTTTAAAAATTCAGCATCACCCTTCTTGTAAGAGCTAATACTTTTCTTAAATTAGTTACTATAAAAGAGTCATATTCTACATTGGTAGGTATTTTAATTCTAAATCTAATTTTAAAAAAGTATGTTATGTACAAAACATGCATGATATGTAAATTGATATAAATTTTTTGCAAATAAATATTCCAGGATTTTTCACTTAGTGTCTCAACAATCTCCCCCGAATATATTGTATTCCTCTCTGTTTTTCCTATAGCTTTCTTTTATTAAAAACCATTTGATTTTTTAGATCCAGCCTTTAATAACTAATAAGGAGACAACTGAATTAGGTAGTCAAATGGATCAGTTTTATTCTTCAGAGGTAATATTTATTTTTATTCATACATATTTTGGACACTTTAATTACTTTTGCACTTGCCCTTTCTATTCCTGAAATTTCTCTGCTCTTGAATATTTTTTGTTGTAGCAGTATTCTTCTTAAGCGTTTTTAAAAGAATGGTACACTCTGGTTGCCCTTTGATCTTATAGGTGTGTCCTCCGTGCACTTTTTGTAAAAATTAGCTGCCATCCCTTAAAAAATCTGCCTTTTTATTTTATTTTTCCAGAAAAAAGTTGTTTTAATCAAAAGTCTTCCAATTGAAAAATTTTTATGTTGTCTAGTTATATACTTACAATTTGCATGATATTCGGCCATTCTTGTCTTTTATTTTTGTTCTGTATGGCTCTGTAAATCATAAATGCTGTGTCAAACTTCTACGGCTCATCCATCCTCCCCATGACCAAAAATGTCCTTGTACACTGCTATAGGGCACTGCTCTTCCCTATTAATGAAGGTATCCTTTTTTTTTTTTTGCCTAACAATCAGTGTTTTTATTTATCTTAATTTCATGTTTTCTATCAATTATTTTCCAAAATCACATCAAATAGGCTGAGAAATAGTTTTATTTCAATTTAATGATTTTTAAAGCAGGTCATTAAAATTACCATTCAACAGCTACTACCAAATGTAATTTTCAACAGTTATTAAAAAAATTATTTAGATTAATAGAAGTATCTGTTTAAAGGGACACAAAGGGTAACTGTTCATTAACGGCCCCCAAGTAGTCACACGCTTCTATGAAATTCCTTTTGATGTGTGGCAAGAGTTTGCCATAACGGATCACCCTGTACATAAACATTTTTTTTTATTAGGATAACTTGATTGAAATGGAATTGAGCCTGTTAAAAGTGAATGAGTATTATGCTGTCAGACATTCAGATGGTCACTGGTATCGATCACAATTGCAATCTATCATAAGTGATGATCCTGTTCAGGTAAGTCTTTTCTTTTACACATACAGTTAAGGTATTGGACATTAAAAATAAAGATTGTTTATTCAATTGTGAGAGGACACATAATTTTAAAGTGGAATAGAATTTCGGTTGTCATTAAAAATCTTTAAAAATTTTCCTAATGGCTAATAGAAGCAAATTTTCTAGTGGCCAATTTTTTTCAAAAGCAAAAAAAGTAACTAAACAGCAATTGGCTTTTGAATTCCTATTAAAACCTAAAAATTATGATTTGAAGTGAATATTTATATAACAACTAATGAACGGCATTAACATTAATTGTAATATAAAGTAAAAACAGAAAGTTATTCCATTTTTATAATTATTAATCTGTTAAGTTAAAGCAGAAATTAAGTGTCTATTACATTTTTAGCCGTAAAATTATTATTCAAAATGAGTTATCATGTGGTTTTATAGTGTGTTAATTGTTTCTTTCCATTATACATGATGCTTTCATATTATTTTTAAAATGTTGTCTAGGCGAGTTTATTTTGCGAATGATCCAACATTATAACAACAACAAGAAAATGTGCAATTCCTGATACATCACTTAACTAATCCAAATATATTTCTCTCCTGTACTATAAATTCAATGAAGCAGTTTATTATGTTTAGTGGTGCATCTTAATCTGATGGTGCTAAATAAATAAATCTTCAATTGGTAACAAAAAAAAGTATATTTGTTTTGCATTTAATTAAAAATAAATGAAACTAGAAAACAAAAGCGTTTATCAATTTAAGTCACTGTTGTTCTTAATAAGATCATATTTAAAAAAATGTGCAATAGGGTAGAATAAAGCACACCATAAAAATAAAACATGACAAAGTGCACTCAATTTTATAAAAATATTTTATACTTTTCTACTTTTTAGAACATAATTAGTTCTGAACTAATTGCACAATTATGTTTAATAACAAACAAATATTGTATTCTGTAATTTAGAAGAAAAAAAAGAAACTGATGTACCACATTCTTATAACAGATCAGTTAGTAGAATAATTTAATTTTATGCCAAAAATAATATAAATGAAATTCTGGTGTTGGATTTCAGTTAATATCAAAACTCTAATAAATAAATTTGTGTCCGAACTTAATTCCCTTAGATACAAAAGTGAAAAAATAAAATGTCTGCAAACAACTATTTTCCTCCATAAATATTTATTAAAGAAACAAGAACCTGACTAACTCTTTCCAACATCACTGAAAAATAAAACATACCAGACATGGCTAAGCAGCACCCTTTTTAATTCAAAGTTAATGAAAAATCGATAATTTACGAAATTAAAATTTTGAATTCAATAGATTCTTGTTGTGTTCAGTTTGGTAGCTTTTCATTCATTTCTAGCCATTTTCATTTTGCTATCGTATGTAATGTTATTCCTATAGAAATTTCGTTTATCACTAATTATAAAAATTTCTAGTTGAAATTTGGAAAATTGCGCCTTAAATATGCAAATAAATGTATTTCTTTAATAGCCATGCTTATAGCAGTTCTTTTTTTTGTTTTTTGTTTTCAGCTCATACACTAAAAACAAATTCAAAACTTAACTACAAGCTACTCCAGACCTGTAATGTAACTGTCTGGCATGAAAGGTAGTTTTAAAGCTTTAATAGATTAAAAACAATGAAATTTCAGTCTTCACTCTAGAGATTTTTAAAATCATTTTTAATTTTTCCACAGTTATATTATAAGCATGCAGGCACAGATGTGGAGGTGTCCGAACCAAACTCCTTGATAATAGAAGGAATATAATAAAAGGGGCTGAAAACCTACATTTTTTTTTTTTTAAAATTACATTGGAAATGACATAATTATTTATAAAAATTTAAATCCAGATTTTGAATCCACTTCTTTTTATATAAATGTGAATTGAAACACCTCATGGTAAAAATTTTTTAATTCAAACAAAATATGTTTATTTTTACCCTTAAATTTTAAAGATTTATAAATTTATGACAATCATATTTTATTCTTCATAGAATATTTTGCATTAGCCAAACAATTGCTTATAAAATTTAATTTCAGAATAACTTAATAAATTTAAAGTTTTAGTATGGTTAGTTGTAGATTTGATGCCCCTTTGGACTGGAAGTAAGAGACCCCTTTTGCCTCCACCCCTCTGCACGTGACTGAATCAGGGTTCAATGAAAAGTTGGGTCGTTAAGGGTTCGATGGCCTAAAAAATTTGGAACCCTTGATTTAAGCACACTGTGCATTGTTATAATTACAGTCTTACGCCATATAAATTCGACATAATCAGGGATATTTTTTACGATTGCTTGTGGTTCCACTGTGGTCAGGTTATTTGTATGAACAATTTCGTGAGACATTTGCCTGAGAATATGAGGTATACTCATCAATACAATGTTACACAATCCATAACGTTTCGTAATGTAATATTTTTACAATCTCCTATGAGTTTTTTTTTTTTTTTTAGATTCTTGTGAACTACGTGGATTATGGTGACCTTTTGACAGTGAATATGTCTCAACTTCAGAGCCTCTACTCCAATTTTAGACATTTGCCTTGCCAAGCAATCAAAGCATCTTTAGCTGGTAAATAATTTTACTATTATTAATCTGTATAATAGTTATATACAACAATAAATGTTTGTGTGTCCCTTTCATCTTGTTTATCTGTAGTTTGATTGCAATGAGATTTTGCATGCTAATAGTTTGCAATACTAGAAAGATCACATGTGGGTTGTTATAAAATTTTTTTTATCAAGGATTCATTTGTAGTTTAAACTATGGATGATTCTTTTATAAGATAATTTGAAGGATTTTAGTTTACTGCTTTATTTGATTAAAAATGAGTTTCGCTAAGAGTTTAATTTTTTTTTATTGTTATTGGTTTCTTAAATCACGTGAGCACAAGAATGAGAATCAATGTGAATTGTTTTGGTGCCATGTGAGGATGATGTAACCTTATTTTTACATTGTTTATAGCTGTGCTTTTTAAAAATGTCTTTATAAAGCAAAACTATGTTATCTTTTTACATACCAAATTATTAAAAAATTATCCGAAATACGTTTTTATCTCATTAAATAAAATATATTATACACTTAGACAAAAAAATTTTTTAATGTTAAGTATTTTCTAATATTTAAATGTTTTATTTTATAAATAGATTAAAGTATTAGTGAATCATTACAAAAGTGTGAGAGACTTGCATGCAAAATTGATCGAAATAGAAAGCTGAGAAATGAGGAATCATAAAATGGTGTACTCGAATGAAATATCAGTAACTAAATAGTTCCACGGGTGACGCTCAACTTCAAATAATCATGTTTTATCAACTTGTAATGATAAACGGAAAATCTTATTACAATGTCAGACAAGTCCCAACATGAAATTTTGTTGTTTCAATGTTATATTAAAATATTAGTGATGCTTAAAAGTCTGGTCGGTACATAAAGAAAGTTAAAATTTATCAGGAGTTAAAAATTGAAGTTGTTTACTGAGTGCAAGCTCTTCATAAACCAGGGTTGGCTATGAAGATACCTATTTAAGTCAGGACACTGGAAATAACCAAAACAAATTAAGCAAAATAGTAACTAAAAATAATCAATAAAGTTGTCTAGCAATAACTATCATAAAAAATAGCTTAAATTCAATCATACAATTTATTATAGCACAAAAAATGAAGATATATATTTTTTTAGCTTTATACAGAATTTTAAAATGTATCTATCATATTTTATTTTTGTTAATAAAATTTATGCTATTTATAATTGTCAATTCAGTATGTGGTTTGTATCTTTAGTGTATAATTTATTAATATTGCAGTTAGGGATGTAACGAATATTCGGCCACTATTCGGCCTAGCCGAATACTGAAATCATTTGGCTGAATATGAATATTATTAGATATTTGGCTGAATAAATTCATAATAATAAAGAAAGATATTTTTTTAAATGTGCTTTTAAATATATTTAATCACGAATATTGCAGAGTTACATTTCACTGCATTAATTATTAGAAAATCTAACATTTATTCAATTTAAGTTGTATAATACATAAGTGTATTTAATAATGTTACTTAAATAAAAACGTTTTCTCGTTGCAAATTTATCATCATGTGTATTTAAACAAGCATTGGAATCTTTTACATTAAAATACAAATATATATAGTTTGTTAAATAGAAGTGTGAATACTATCTGAAATACAGAAAGTTTAAAAAAGCAAATTTGTTAATATTTATTTCATTTTTAATTTAAAAATTATTTAATTACAAAATTAAAATTTCAAAAGTGAAACTTTTTAAAAAGTTCTTAATTTTCTCGGTTTTAATAATTTTTCTGACAAAAAAGAAAGTTAAGAATACATTTAACAGTAGTAATGAGTTCTTATTTTAAATAAAATAGCATATAAATTACAAGAATAACTATAGCTAAAATATGCTATTATAAATTATTTCGATTTATAAAAGCCATATTGCCTTGTTATTGGCATCAAGATTTTTAAATTATTACAAAAAATAAATCAAGTTGTTAAATTCTTTTTAAATATACAAAGATTAAAAAAGCAATTTTGTAAATATTTATTTCATTTTTAATTTAAAATATGAAAATTACTTTAAATACAATCAAAAGAGAAATTTTTAAAAAGTAAGTATTCGGCCACCGAATATTCGGTATTTGGCCGAATATTCGGTATTCGGCCCCATCACTAATTTCAGTATTAATAAAATTTAAATTTGACTATGTTATTTTAACAATTTTGTTAAATTGTGTTTTACTATATTCATTTAGACGAAACTACTATTGTTTTAACTTCTTAAGAAACTCATTCAATGAATTTTTTTCCTTATCATGGTGCGCAGGGTTTTTAAAAAGTGCTTTAATGTGCTTATTTTTGATTTTAGTTTTTTAAAAGCTCTTAAAGGTGCGTTTTTTCATTGGGTGTTTTTAAAAAGTGCTTAATTTTCCCTTTTCAAAAATGAGATTTTTACTTTACCATTTTGATTTTCGCCACGTATTATGCAAAAGCGTGCTTTTCACATTGTTCTATCAAGGTTTTCACAATTTATCCAACCACAATCCATTTCGGCATACCAATAGCGTTTCAAAGCACCAATCATTTTACATGTTTGATGAAATACTTGCGAGTCTGCGTGTCCGTCTACTGAGCAGGGTTCTGTAAGATAATTGCACTCTCATGTGCAACTCTGCAGCATTCTCAATTTTAGGCTTCTTTTTTCACCCTCTGATATCGAACCCAAAAATCTCTTGAATATTTTATAATGGCTAATATAATAAAGAAAAGAGTTCTTTGTCAGAAACTAGTTATTTTATAATGATCATAAGTCTTTGAAATTTATTTTGCATATTGTTAATGTATGTAGTGCTTAAAAGTAATTTTGAGTGCTTAAAAAGTACTTAAACGGTGCTTAATTTTTCCCGACTAGTTTCTCCTGGATTCATTAAAATTCTTCTCGTTTTGGTACATTTTAGAAAATTCCCTAAAGTTGAGTCAATTTCCTAAAACAATCCCTATTGAAACAGAGTTTTTGTACAGATTATTGTTTACTAGAATATTTAAAGAAGTATTACTAATATATAATGAAGCCAACCTCATTAATAGAAATCAGCTCAAAACTTTTTTGTTTTTTTATTTTTTCCTCTTGGTTTGGAGGAAACCTATTTCTTCCCTTTTTTTTTCTACTGTCGAAAAAACATGCCATCCGTTGTACTAATTTTTTTCTTTCTTTTAGGTATTAAACCTGTAGAAAGGGATTGGAGACCTCTTCACTGTGTCGAATTTAAAAACATGGTCGAGGAAAAAGTATTTTCTTCAATTGTGCGCAGAAAGACTTACCGAGAATCTCGTGGTAACAAAGTGTTAGAACTAGAACTGACTCTAATTGATGTTAGTGTTCCCGGGGAAGATGTGTACATCCACGAGACTCTGATAAATAGGGGAATCGCCAGGCCGGCTTAGAATCAAATAAAATTCTAAAAACATAGGACTTATTATTCAAATTTTGTGATAACTAGTTTCATCTAACTTTTTTATGAATGCGAAAATACAGATCCGATTTCAGGATTTAACAGACTTTTTTCCAATTATGATGGTTATCAATAACTTGATATGAATACACATTTTTTATGAAGTGTAAAGAGATTGTTCAAGAAGTGTTTTTGATTCAGGTTTATTTGTATTATAATGTCTGTGATAATGTCTAAAGAAAAGATGTTTGGAAATGAGTTTCTGTCACAGAAAAAAAGAAATGTGTTTTAATAAATGTTTTTTAAAGTAATCTTTAAAGTTTAAAGATTACTTAGTATCTTAGAAAATATTAAATGTTGGCTCTCTAAATAGTTCTTTCAAAATCAAATACGTCATTGCCTTGTGTATATAATTTTTTTAAGGTTGTTTTTTTTTCTTTCTTTTTTTTTTCTTTGCTTTAGTCAGATGCTTTTTTGATGTTTACTGAAACCAGGGTTCATGATTTTAAGTTAAATTTTTTTAAATGTGATTCAAATTCAAATGTTTAAAATAAATTGTCACAATATATTTAAAAGTGTTCTGCTGCAGGAAAAATATAGCAATAAATAATGCTTATTTTATAGCAATAAATAATACAATTTCTATACTTCATTTAAATAAATCAATATAATTTATTTAAATGAAGTATAGAAATATATGAGTATATTCTAAGAAACGAGTTAAAGTATGCAAATTTTAAATCCAATTTAACAAGAAACTTTAATTTTGAAACAAACTTATGCTGTCTTATGTAAGCACTGGAATTTAAAAAATATCAAACAAAATAATTTTTAACTTTTCTTGAAGCTACATTAGAATATCTTCATAAAATTTCAGATTTAGAAATTAATTTTGCATTCTGAAAATACAGAAAACCTAAAATTTTTCTGATATTGTTTCGTAAGTGCTCAAATTTATTATACATTAATACAGACTATAAAAATCAAGAATTTTTTTTTTAAGGGAGTTGATTTAAATCAGAAAACCCTGGTTGAAACAATGAAGAATTCTAATTGTTTTATTTGTTTGTCCTGTTAATTGTACTGTAAGATTTTAAATTCTGAAAGGAAACTAAATAAATATTTTACTATTAAGATGTTATGTATACTTTTTGTCTTAACTTGTGACACAGTGTTTAGGATTTAAATTAAATAATTAATTCACTATTACAGTTGAACCTGTATTATCCAAGGTATTTGAAATCGAATCTGCTTCAGATAATTGAAATACATTAGGCTCCAGATTTTCAGGTCCACAGTTGCCAAGATTCCATACTACCTATCCTTTGTTTAAAAATTTGAAATTTAGGAGCCTACCATTGTAGTAGGCAGAGAAGACAAAAATGAAGAATGCTGAAGAGGTATTCTCTTTCTATCGAGTCATAAATGCTCACCTTTGTGCTGTTTATTAATAAGTATTTTTGCATTAGTAATTAATTATATTTTATAACCGTCATTGAACAGCCGACCTAATTTTTGGATTTACGACTACTAATATTCAACTCCGTAGCCTTGTCATTTTGAACCCAATCCAGAAGACAAGGGAACTCCTGAATCAAGTATTGGGAAAAATTTGCCTTTGTGGAGGACTTCCTGGTGAAACTAACCCCCATTTGTGTTAAATGGAGAGGAAGAAAAGAGAACCTGTCACTGTTAGCCTGACTGCAAGGACTGACTCTAACCCATGATCCGTCTACCACTGAGAAAATTTCACGTCAGCACTGTGGTCGGTGCAAGCAATACGATGTGGAATTCGTATTGACCAGCCATCGCCGGAATCGAACCCCGGTTCACATCATTGGAAGGCGAACGCTCTATTCTCTAAGCCATCGCGGCTCAGTGATAAAAAAATAAATTGATTAAAGAATTAAAGCAGCGATTGCACCATCATAATTCGAATATACAATAGGCTCCTGACTATTCGCTCAAATGTTGGGTTAAGTTTGGACAGTTTCCACATCCTACTCATACTATCCCATAATTAAAAATCTTACAATTAATTCATATTAAACTTTAAGATTTTTAATTTTATTTAAGTTACAGTTTTTCTCTAGAATCTAGATTAGCTTATTGCTTTTCTTAGCTCTCTCACTAGGTGCATGAAATTTCTTTTTTTTAATTTTGATATTTTTATTTGAAAATGGAAGGCATTGAGACGAAAATGTACTTCAAACTTGATTGTTTCATCTTAATGCCTTCCATAACTAGTAAAACAGTGTTTTTCATCAGATGGTGCTGCTGACCAAGAAAAGATCAATAAAACAATATTTTTGGAAGAGTCATTGTTTGCACATATAATGTATTTGCTATGTGAATAGAAAATTAGCAGACGCTCCTGGAAATATTTAGTTTGAAATTATATGACATGTGATAGAAAACATTTGTTTTGTTGCTTCTCCGCAAAATCGCCACCTATTGATGAAATTTTTTACTAACTAGAATATTTAAATTTTTAAAAAATGCTTTCTGAGAAAAATGAAGAAACCTGTGCATTTCTATTTTTCTTTATTTCATATTTCAAGTCGTTCATATGTGGGCTACATAATCTATATGTTGAAATAGGTTCATATATCGAGATGGATATGTGAGCTGAGGATATCCACATGAAAAATATCTTGTGTTTGGTTTGTTTTAACATTTTCTTCATTTGTTTTAATTTTATTTATCTAAAAGTATCAGCATGCACAAAATAAAAACGACACACCTTTATCAATAAGAGACATATTACTCATAACAGACCAATAGACGTCTTATATATAGATGTGAGATAAAGAAAAAGACAATGAATTGGATATTTAATGAAATATTTAGTTAGTCATTATCTTATAGTACGTTAGTGGCTAAAATTACTGCAATGGTCATTCAGTTAGTTAGTCAATTATTTGGTCAGTTTTAAATGATATAGCGAATGAGAAAGTGATTAAAGAATTAATGAGTTGAGGATTTAGTAACATCTTTATCTTGTTAGCAATTAATGTAAGTTTTTGACATGATGGAGGCAATGTGATGTTTTAGTTAATCAAAAAATTATTTAGTCATCTAATAGGGCTTTTGTCTCTTGGCAAATGAGTTTGAGTGATTCTGGCAACCAGTTAGTGTAGAGAGAAAATGAAACTGTGTTTATGAACGTGATTGGGTGTAGCTCAGGCAAGATAGTGTGGGCTGAACACCGCTTCTCATCTTTGAACGTTATATCGCAACAGTATTATAAAAATATTCTAGATCTTTTCAAGGGAGTGGTAGGTTCAGGCTTTTTCTTTATGGATTACAACACACAGGAGCGTTGAGGTATCGGACGCACTAAAAAGTGAAGATATTGTTCGTATGCAATGACCTGCGTACTTCCCCTAATCTAAATTCTATGGAGTGTGCCTAAGATACCCTCACTAAGAACATCTGCTCTCCAAACCATGCAACAGCTGAAAACCACCTTAGGAAAAAAGATTAACTATATACTCTAAGGACGCCTTTGATAATTTATTCGACAATATGAACAACCATGGTGCGTAGCGTTTTTAAAAAGTGCTCATTTTCAATTTTCGTTATTTAAAGGTGGCTTTTTTCATTGAATGTTTTTAAAAAGTGCTTAATTTTCCCTTTTCAGAAATGAGATTTCTTTTTCGTTTCTATGTCGATTTTCGCCAAGTATTTTTATGCAAAAGCGTGCTTTTCACTTTGTTCTATTCAATGTTTTCACAATTTATTTCGACGTACCGTCGGTCCATAGCGCCAATCATTTTACATGTTTGATGAAATACTTGCGAGTCCGCATGTGTGTGTACTGAGCTGGGTTCGGTGAGGTTATTGCACTCTCATGAGCAACTCTGCAGCATTTTGCAAGATATTCTCAATTTTGGGCTTTATTTTCCACCCTCTGATATGATATCGAACCGAAAAATATTTCAATCATTTTATAACGGCTAATATAATCAAGAGAAGAGTTATTTTCTCATGATCATCAAAGTCTTTGAAAATTATTTTGCATTTTGTTAATGTGTATAGTGCTTAAAAATATTTTTTGAGTGCTTAGAAAGTACTTAAAAGGTGCGTACTTTTTGTTGAAAGATTTGGCTACACACCCTGATAACAGATGCAAAATGTTAATCAGTGTCCGAGATAATCGCACATCTTATCGAGGTATTCATACCTGTTTCATTTTGGCAAGAAGATCCGTTTTTCGATGCAGTTTAAAAATCACCTTAGGAACATGTTTTTACTTTTAATTTTATTATTTTCCGATGTTTTGATGTTAGCACCATTTTGCATAATAATAAGTGCAGTTTGACTCTACTAAATATGTACTAAGTTTGTTTCTTCAAGTAATGTCTAATATTAATTATTCCAAAAATTGTAACTATTTCTTAGCAATTGTCATGCAGTATATATATATATATATNAAAATTGTATAATTAAAAATCAACTTAATTAATTATAAACTTTGAACTATCCAGTATAATATTATTACAGGTAACTATCAAATCAAACGCACTTCTATTGCAGTAAGAACTCGCAAAAAAAAGAAGCCTATACTTAAGCTTCTAACTCTATATGGCTACCTCTTTCATATTTTGTACTCTGGCAATCCTACTACGAAAATATTTCATAACATTCTTGAAAAATTCAGGTACGTGTTACTTCACTTGTATTCGCTACTGGATTTAAAGATTTCGTTTTGTACTTTGTTCTGTATTTTCTTTGCTTTTTATTTAATGTTTTTTGCTTGATACGTTTTATTTCCGATATATTTTTCATTTAATGCTTTCATTTTAATTTTTCAGTGCTCCTCACACTATGGTATGGCTAATTTCTTCTTCCTATAGTGATACAATATTAAAAAGCACTCCTTTTGCAGATATTATCGTGTGAACTTATAAAGAGATTTATCTTTTGTTTTTCGACTTTTTATTATGTATATATTTTTTTTAAATATTTTTTGCAATATTTTAATTTTTCTTCTTTTTTTTCTTTACTCATTATTATTTTCCATTTTTTCTCGACATTTTACATATACTATATATATATACATATATATACTAATATGCTCAGTGTGGTGATTGACTTCGTATAATTCAAATACTTAAAAAAACGCAGTAAACATTTTTTTAACCAAACTACATTCTAAAAAAAAAGAGAAAAAAATAGAAATGAATAATCTACACTTTTCTAGTTTTTTATCCTTTTGTTTACTTATTTTTAAGTTTTTCTTGTTTTAAATAATTTTGCAAAAAATCTATATACTACAAATTATTTCTTCCCCAGTTCACTAGTCAGATTTGTAAAAGATTGCAAAAATTTTGAAAAGCACGCATTCTACTTGCTTTAAAAAATTCAATTCACACAATGTATGAATAAGGATGTATCTTAACCTTTGACGCGGCAAGAAAATTAATCTTGAAATGCCTAGAACATTAAAGTCGTCATCAGAACATGAAGCGACTTGCTTTACACTTATCGCTGTAGTTGTTGATTTTAACGCTGCACATTAGGGTGAAAAATAAGTGGGACAGTTTTTGTTCTACCATCCCTTAATTAATTAAAGTTTTTAAAAATTAAAATTTTTGAAAAATTAAAATTTTTAAAAATACTGTGTTTAGATTCTATACATTATTTGTTATCAAATGTTTATTAAATGTATATTAGCTGATTCGTCTGCAAAAAATTTATAATTGGGTGCCTTTGGCTATATTTTATAATTTGGCTACATTTTGTATTCTTACTGACTTAATTCAATTCTACAAGTCTTAATACAACTCTTTATTTCAGCTATAAATACATGAATATGCACTTTTTACATAATTTATAGTAAATCGTGACTGGCAAGCATTCATTCCATAGTGTATGGCGCTACGTCTTACTTCTATTACGGCCAGCCAATTCCATGCGACTTTGAGGCATCCTGCATGCAATGCTAGAAGAGTTATTAGAATCTTTGTCAGCTTTTTTTTTTGTTTAGAAATTTGCTCTAATATGAAACACATTTATATATAAATATAATTATGTATAAATATAATTATATTTATATATAATTATATATATATATATTTATATATATATGTCATAATAAAGCAATTTTATTAAAAGTTTTCAATTTACAAAATGACTGAAAAAATTATGATTTATAGTGCATAAAAATGCTAAGAATTTAAATTTGTTACAACATACTCGTATTAAGTAATGATGTTACGAACAGAAGAATTTTAAACATGTCTTAACTTCGTTTATAAATTACATTACATTTAATAATAAATGTATATTAAGGTTATTATGAAAATCTTTGTAAGTAAAAAAATATCCAGTCAGTGGAAATATAGTTTTTTGCATTTTTCAGCTATAACTTACCTGATGTTCAGTTTTTTGATGAAGTTTGACTTAGCGTTAATTTTGCGAAAATAGCAGTCGCCAATTCCATATTGTTTTTTATCCATGGTATCCATTGTGGAGAGGATAAAATTGTTGCTGATTTCGCTATTATATATTCAAAGGAAGCTGATTTTAAAAATTCATGATTTACTGCATCAGCCAAAGACAATATTTCACACACGTTCTCCTCTGACATTTCATTTTTCAAAAACATTGCACATTTCTCTTTCAGTAATAATATTTGGTATTTTTCTGCAGCCATCAGCAGTTTTGCAGCGATTTCATAATCCATTTCATCTACACCATCGGTGTATAAGAATTCCAAAAATGATTTCATAATGTGGGCATCAATATCAACGATGTCGACAATGCCCCTGCGAGCTTCTGCCATGTCTTGGTGGTCAAACATAACAGCAAATACCGGGGATCGAGCCACTAGAATATTTTTATGTGCTTCAAGTGTTTCGCCATCCACTCGTAATTTCACATCGCTGAGATGTTTGTTACGGAATAGATTTCGAAAGTCTTCCTGCAATGAAGGCGAAGCACTTGTTGTTGATAATGATTTGTTGGGAATAGATGAGGATTTAGATGTAGGCATGTTGATGTATAAACGTTTTCCGCTCGAAACAGAAAACTCACAATATATAGAAAAGGTATCAAAATATCCATTCTTCTCCCATTTTTTAGAAAGGGCTTCTGAAGGAAATTCCCAATTTGAGCAATTTTCTGAAGAAAAATAATGCTTTTCTCTTTCAGAACATATTTTTGAACGGGACATATTAATCAGGCTCAAAGTGCAGTCCACAATGCATGGTTCATTTTTAGCGGTTTTTGCAATCATCCTTGTAAATGTAACTTTAAAGTTTCTGTTTTTTTCGGTGATAGAAATTTCAAAATTATTATTTGATCCTGAAGTTAATAAATGTTTCGTTGTTTCCTCTCTAGGTACAGACAATTCAAGAGTATTCCGATTGACACCAATCTTTGTGCAGTAAAATTCTTCCTCTTCTGTCACAATTTCGATAGAAATGTAGCCATAAAATTTGCAACGAATTGTAAGAGTATCTTCTGCACAATCCTCCGCATCTTGGACATAATCTTTGATAGCAAGGAAATCAGGAAATTTTAACTCCATTTCATCGGTTACCCAACGGTTATCCCACTTATAATTTTTCAATATCTTTCCACTGGCTCCAATTGCTTCAATTTCACCGTGAAGAGAATCAATGGGGTCATCCGCAACCAACTCTAAAGAGCATGAAATGAAATCAGAATATTCATTACTCTCTCCTCTTGGGTAAAGATTTAAATAGCCTGTAAGTGTTTTGAAATTTTTAATATGAAATTCAGGACCATATAATAGTACGCCATTATTATGGTGACAAAAAGAAAAATTTTCGATTTTCCACGTAAAAGTATATTTACTTTTGTTCATGATTTTTTGTGGAAAAAATCAAACTTAACGCAATGCCTTAAGTATACATTTACTGGATATCTAATAAATTTGATATCAGATACATTTTTTATCAACATTTATCCACAGAATAACAAGCAATGTCTTATCTTTATTCAATTTAAAGCTACGAGATAGCTAAACGCGTCATTGTTGCATTGTTGCGTTGTTAACTTCAAATCTTTTTAACCAAAAACTGGTCGTTATCTGTTACGAGAATTAAAATACATAAGAATGTTAACGAGTATCGATTTCAAATTACAATCTACGTTTCTACAAAGGTACACCTAAATCTTTTGATTGATTCAAACTTTCTTACTAATTTCGTTTTTTTTAAACTTGGAATAATGAATTTTTAAAAAACTTATGAATTAAAAATAATATAGAAGCACTAAATTCTAACTTTCAATTTGTTTTTAATGATATGATAGATTTTAAAGAGTGACTTGAATGATAGACTTTAAATTTCTATCTTTTATGACATAAAATTTTGTTGTTAAATTACATAAATATTTTGAACAGATATTTATCTTTAAATATATGTTTTCAATAGACGAAGAATTAAAAATTATTTCCTTGTATAAAACCATTATAAATCTTTTTTTGAAAAATCTGCATTTTTAAAAAAGAAAAATGTATTGTAAAATTATATTGCTAATATATATCATTTATGAATTTTTAAACTTTTATAGAAATCATTGTTTAAAATTCAAATAATAAAATATTATCAAAAATATTTTTTTTTTTTAGTTTAAAAAAATATTTAATCTTAAGTAAAATTTGTGTTGTGTCTTTATGTCCGTCAAAATATCCTATATGTCGGTGAGATCACGAACGATCATTTTAAAGTTAAAAAGTCATAATTGAATAGTAATAGTAGTTTCAGTAGTTATAGTAATAATAGCAGTTTGTAGTTATGACAATAAATAGTCATATTTTAAAACATAACATGAATTTCAATAAGCTCTAATTACTTTGAAATTAATTTAAGAAACAAAATAATTATGCACTGTTAGAATTTTTATTCTAAAATTACGGTAATATAATCGGTGGCATTCTGTTTACGCAATTAACTGTAAAGTTAATGGTATAGAATCTTTTTAGCTTTACAGATTTGAAAATGTTTACAACACGCATGGTTAAAAAACCATAAATACTAAATAATGCGTTTTTGTAACCACTTGCAACTAGCATAGTTTCAAAACCGTAAAAAGAAATTTAACTTGAAGCAGGACTTTTCGCTAGATAATGGGAATTGGAGTTCGGTTGTGGTTGAGTTATGTTTTATCAAATAAACCAAGGGATGTAGTTTAATTAGTTTATTTGATAGTTTCACCTATCGTAAGAAAGGAGAAATACTAGATTTTTTTGAACTAAGCAGCTTCAAGGTATTGCCATCGACACGTGAATGATAGTATCGTATTCCAATAGTCCAGTGTCACAGAGCAAAATTGTGCTGTGCAAGACACTGGAAACTCTTCGTGTGTTGAACAGAATGAAGGAAATATTATGATGACTACGGTGGGGCTAGAACGTCCGTTCTGTGGGTCATTAGACTTGCAGATAAGCCCTCCAGGCTACAATATGTACCCAGAAGCAAGGAACTAGGTGGCTAGATTAGGTGAGTCGAGATAATGCGATAAAATTCTGATTTTTGAAGCGTATTAGACAAAACCAGTTAATCAATTGTTTTTCTCACAGTTAACAGTTTGAGTACCATCCATCTTATTTATGATAATTTGGGTGTTTTGTTTGAATATGGTAATACAACAATTAAATTAATTTGTTATTCAATAATTTTTTCTGAAAATTTCCAACAGTGTGGTTAGTAAATATATATATATGAGAGGGGAGGTGGGACTCACCCAAAATCATAGAATTGGGAAATTTTACTGTAAAACCATAACCACAAAATCAATTTTCACCGGAACATTTTACGGGACAAAAAATCTGATATATTGTAATAATTACCATAAAATCTCTGAACCATTCTAATTAAATTACTGTAGAAATTCTAACTAAATTACGGTAGTATTACTGTAGAAATTGCGATATAATGTTTTAGCTATATAGCTATATAAATTAGCTCAACTGAACTACTTCTAACACCGAGTCCACGATATTATATAATTTTAAGAAAAATATTGCGTGACATTTTAACAAATTGGACCCCAATTTCGTTTCTGCGATTCATCTTCCCAATATTCCGAAATTTAAAAAAGGAATTTTTTTCTTGCTATGATGAAATTGACCCCTTTTGGCTATTTTAAGTATTTTTATGATTGCTTATTTTCTTTCTCTAAATGAACCCATTTTCCTTAGAAAGAAGAATAATTCTTTGACACACATTCTTAAGTACCCATCCTAAAAAATATCGTCGATATTAACTTTATAATATAGTTTTGAAAACGTTTCATTTAAACAAACTTCTCTGAGTTAAATTCCATTAAAGGGCTTGATGCAAAAACAAACAAATAAACTAAGTTTCATAAGTTATTAGTGAGAATCGAATGAGATTTAAGAAGTCAATAATTTTATTTACAGCCGTGGTGGCTCAGGGGATAGAGACAACACCTCCTAAAAGACCTCAGCATGGATCAAGTTGTTATTCCAACGTAAACTGCGCTGTAGAGGAAAAATAACAAGAAATAAGTCAATACGTTTAGGCTTCTAAGCTGTGTTGTACGGGGGAAATAATAAAGATGTCATTACGTTTGGACTACTAAAGGATCAAATTTCTTGTTTATGATAACCCGTGCTGAGGCCTTCTCTCTTCTAGGAGGAATTTATAGAGCACTCGCGTTCTAATGAGGTTACCCGTGTTCCCGTGTTATGAATTCACAAGGGCCACACCCGGTTCACAATGACTACAGAGTGCTGACGTTAAATATATATATATAAAATATGAACGTTAAAAAAAAAA